GGCTTCATAAGGCCAGCAAGGAGAATGGTGGCTGCCAGGGGCCGGGGAGCAGGGAATGGGGAGTTTAATGGCTACAGAGTTTCAGTTTGGGAAGAAGAAAACTGTCTGGAGATGAGTGGTGGAGAGTGTTGCATGGCAATGCGCATGTGCTTAATGTCACTGAACCATACACTTAAAATGGCTAAAGTGCTAGGTTTCATGTTGTATATATTTTACCATTTTAACCATCTCAGTGGCATTAAATGGCTATATTGCATTAATGGCTATATATATATAGCCATAATAAAAAAAAATTAAAGCAATGTAGAACAATTGCCACAAGCAAGCTAGGGATTTTTGCCTGGTGAGAGGCCAGAGCTCCTGCAGCTCCCAGAGCTGGGGCTAAAGACCAGCCTGGCTGCTAGTGTGTTTTGTGCTAAAACAGCAGGGGCTGACATGGTCTGGCCCTTGAACACGGGTCCCACCTGAGGGGAAGCTTTCAGCAGAAGCCATGAACATGAACGTCATGAAGTCCGGCAGGGCCTCTCCATGGAAATCAGCATTTATTTGAAGCCGTTAGTACTTGATTTGGCTTCACCCAGAGGTGACCTCCTACACAGGGCCAAAAGAAAAGTGATTTCTTTGATTCTCCATCTGACCCAAACTGACCTCCTGCATTCTTCGATTCATTTTAAGTCATGCTGTACTGACCAGAGCGATTCCAGCTCTCAGCAAAGAACATTTCACATCTTTGCCAGCAATGCCATGCCAATTTCAGGTCCATTCACTTGAATAGCAAGAACAAAATCTGTGAGCTGTTTCTGAACTTGGGCAGTAGGAAGAGAAGGAGAAGGAAGTACTATATTCATAAATGGCATGAAGCTTCGAGGAGAGAGGAGAACTGGAAACTCCCCCATGCCTGGAGGTGAGTCAGTGCTGGTTTGGGCCATGTGGAAGTTGGAGGAAGCAGGTGTGACTCCCCAGGTGGAGACCGAGGCTCTCTTTTCCTCACGGAGGATCAGACCTTCCCAGGAAGGAGGACAGCACAGGTCTCCTGCATCACTTGTGATGCTTTGGCTGCAAGCAGCAGCGAGCCCGACTTGAGCCGGCTTAGACAGTTAGGCAAGTGTGTCTTCCCGTAACGAGACAAGAGGTAGGGTGAGTTTGGGGTTGCTAAACCAGCAGCTCGGTGTCATAAGCAAGCACTTGAGCTCCATCTGCCTGTCCACTTGCTCCATGGCCACACAATGACTGCCACAGCTTGAGACGTCACATACAGCCCAGGCAGTGGAGGGAATGCCTTCCAGAACCCACCCCACAGCCAGCAGACTTCCCTCGCACGGGGATCCTTGACCAGGGCCAGCAAACTTTTTCTGTAAAGGGACAAGACAGTAAATATTTTGGGCTTTGAGAATACACATTTGGTCATAATCCCTCAAGTCTGCTGTTGGAATGTAAGAACTGTCTTGGGTAATGCATTAACAAATGAGCATGGTTGCATTCCAATAAAGCTTTATTTACAAAAGCAGGTATGAGGTTGGGCGAGGCCTGTGGGCTGCAGTTTGCTCACAATTGCTCTACACCAGCTATCTTCGGAGTTACCTTCAGGACACAACTGACCCCAAAGCATGGCACAGGCCATTTGCCCCTTATTTATAACTGCCTTGCCTGTGAGTGGCTTGTTCCATTCTCTGTTGGCATCTAACGAAGGACATTCAAGGGGCTCCAATTCGTAATGTCAAGCATAAGCTCTCACAGGAGGCAGGCGGAGTCAGAGCACAGCAAAGCCGGGGCACCAAAATAGATGAGAACGAAACTTCAAAGAATTTCTTATTTCCTAATGAGCATCAAAGTTGACACTAGGGGAAGGCTCCAAATTCGGTTAAACTTTGTTCAACTTACCTTACAAATTTAACATTTAAGAAAACATTTAGTTACATTTAGAGGGTACTATAGTTCCCTCTGAACACCTGTATCCCACTGTTGGTGCTCTAGAAACTATTTTCGTATTTCCTTTTTGTTTCCTCTATATTGAAAATGAGGACCAAAAAAAAGGCCTTAGCACTCAGTACGAACCCCAAATTTTACAGAGTAGAGAGCAGAGGCTCAGAGAAGGCAAGCTACTTTCCCCAGATCACCACAGCTGCTCAGTAGCAGAACCAGGACCCAAACCCATGGCCGGGCGCGGTGGCTCACACCTGTAATCCTAGTACTCTGGGAAGCCAAGGAAGGTGGATCGTTTGAGCTCAGGAGTTCAAGACCAGCCTGAGCAAGAGTAAGACCCTTTCTCTACTAAAAAAATAGAAAGAAATTAGCTGAAAATAGAAAAAATAGAAAGAAAATAGACAACTAAAACATACATACATATATATATATATATATATGATTAGCCGGGCATGGTGGCGCATGCCTGTATTCCCAGCTACTCGGGAGGCTGAGGCAGGAAGATTCCTTGAGCCCAGGAGTCTGAGGTTGCTGTGAGCTAGGCTGACGCCACGGCACTCTAGCCAGGGCAACAGAGTGAGACTTTGTCTATAAAAAAGACCCAAACCCAGGCTATGGTAGGTTGTAGTAGTGTTCAAAAATATTTGCCCCTCCCCAAAGGAAGATGATATAACTTACTGAAGGAGTAAGCTTGGCCCTTGTGCCTTAGGGTGCCCTCCCTACAAGTGGAGTGCACACCACCACCACCACCACCCACCCTGCTGAACTCAGGGGTGGCCGTGTGACTTGTTTGCCCCTGAAATGTGGGTGAAAGTGGCAGTGTCACATGATTGCCATATCCGTCTGCTCTCTGACACAAGATCGGTGATGTTCTCTGTCAGCCTGGGTCACAGAGTGAAGAGGATAAAAAGCACAACCACAGCTCACCTGGGATGGACGTGTCACACGGGCAAGAAATAAACCACTGAGATCTGGGGTCATTCGTTACTGACGCACAACTGCATCTGTCCCGACCCTCCACCACCTGAGCACTGTCCTTCCCGACCAGGAGACACAACAGGGATCCCAGCAGCGTGGCACGGCGTCTCAGAGTGCGCCCGCCTGGACGCAAGCCCCACCAGCAGGGTGACCTTAGTCACATTACTTCCTCCGTGCCTCAGTTTCCTCATCAGTAATGTAGGGATAACACTGGTACTGTTTTGGTCTGTCTGGGCTGATACAACAAAAATATATGACTGGGTAACTTATAAACTACAGAAATTTATTGCTCCCAGTTCTAGAGGCTGGGAAGCCCAAGATCAAGGTGCCAACAGATTTGGTGTCTGGTGGGGACCCATTGCTCGTAGATGGTGGCTTCTTACGTGTCCTCACATGGAGGGAGGGCTGAACAAGCTCCCTCAAGCCTATTTTTAAGGACACTAATACCACTCATGAGGGCTCCAACCATGCTACAGGTGACCTGATCACCTCCTAAAGGCCCCTGCTCTTAATACTATTACATTGATGATTAAGTTTCAGCATATCAATTTGGGGGGCACACACATATTCAGATCATAGCTGGCACCTACCCCACAGGGATATGGTGAGGATTCGATTAACTAAGCCTGTCTTTTGAGGAATGCTGGTTAAATGGTTATTATTATTCAAAACAGTCTCTCCCTGGCTGACACTGCAGCGACAGCCAGGGGTGGGAGTGGGGGAGGTGTCTGCTGACACTGCTCCATGCCATTGCACATGTACACAGCCACCCTCCAGCCGTCACTCTCCCCCATGTACGATGCTGATGGCCATCCCTGCCCCTGCAACAGGCCAAGGGGAAAGGGCAGGGGAGGGGGGAGGCTCTATTATGCAGGGATTAGGAGCAGGGCCGTTAGAGTCACACTGTTTGGGGCTCAAATCCTATTTCTGTCCCTCCTTCCTGTGCATGCGCAGTAGTTTCCATCTCATGGGGTGAGATGAGGATTCAGTGGAATAATTCATGGAAAAATGCTTATCACGGTGCCTGGTACACCACAGGTCTCAGCAAATGTCAGGCTCAATGCCAGTATTCTCTTCTGCCAGTGCAAGCCAAGGAGGGCGTGGGCAGAAAAGGAGGCGTAGGAGGTGATTCATCTTTCAGTGCATCTGAGGAGTAACAGGGAACACTGTCATTTAGCCCCTGCCCTAACTAAAACACCTCCTGGAAATCACAGGCTGATTGGCTGGCTGGTGCCAAGTTGGTAGGAAATAAAGCATCGCCCCCACGCTGCTCAGCTGGCATGCATCCCACGGCCGCCAGGCGCCACCAGAGCGGCTGCGTGTCGGGCCTGGCAGTGATGACTGTCAGCTGATCACTGCACTCTGCCTGGGCAGCTGCTCCGGAGCCGTGTGGGTGTGGGTTTGAGGACCCAGATCAGGGTCACACACCATGGGGTCCTTTTCACATCATGTAAAGATACGCCGTGGCCCTTCACCAAGATAGGCAAACTGGGCACAGAGCTGCCCATGGAAGGATCTCCCAGGCTCAGGTCCTGTGCAGCCACGTTCTCTTAGTGTGCACCCTCTGCTGATGACAGAGCCACCCCCAAGCTGCCTGAGCCAGGGCTCTGACACACTTGCCAGCCTGGAGCTCCACCGGAGGCCAGGTGTGCTTGCCTGCCTCTGCTCCAGCAGTCACCTGCCCAGACCTGGCCAGAGGAGAGCTGGAGGGGTGGGTTGGCAGCAAACCCAAGCCCAGCCCTCGAGATGCTGGCTGTTGGCTTGTCTGCCAGAAATCTCAGCCGCTCCAGATCAAGCCCTTAACATGCAACGGCACCTGGGAGGGGACTCGCCAGGCTCCACGGCTATGTCTGAACGAGTCCTCAGACGTGCCATTCCCGCACGCCACAGGTGCTCCCTGAGTGCTCCTGCGGGCCAGCCCTGCTTTCCTCCCTGTCTGGGAGGCCCGGGCAGGGGAGCGCGGTGGCCATGGCTGGAAGCATCAGTGACCACACTGCTCTGGGCTCTGTCTAGAGCCGGAAAGTGAGTCCAGGACACCTCACTGGAAACACTGCCGGGCTGCGACCCCGAGAATCGGAAACAGCCAGAAGTGCCGGTGTTCCCCATAAGCATACTGCGAGAGTCCACCGGGCTGCCTAGTTTTTTGTTTTTTGGTTTTTTTTCCTCAAATGTCGCTATGAATTAGCAGCACTCACTCCTGGGGCTCCTGGGAATACACCTTTACTGCATCTGCCAGAGCAAAGCTTGAGGTCGGGAGAAAGCTTTGTATTTGGGAAGCGATGGGAAAGTTTATCACCGAGGCACGGGAGCTGGCCACGAGGGTCTCTGAGAGGAAACAGCGCAGAGGCCGGGATGTCTTCGGCAAGATAATTGCAAGGCAACACTGCAGGGTAGTTTAATTTCCTACTGCGTTTTAATGACCAATGAAGAAGTTATAAAAATGTCATTTATAGAGAAACTCCAGCACTTTGTTTTCCTGGTTATTCTAATAGATCAATTGGAACACGAAATATGATTTTTAAAAAATGCTTTGGCCAGACACGGTAGTCAATCTTTCGCACCACAGATCTGTGTAGTTGCCCCTTGTCATGCAGTCAAGACAGAAGTGGGTGGGAGTTAAACGGGAAGAAAATTCTGCTCTTTTCTCTTCTAACAGGCAAGGAAACCTTTGCAAACTCCATCCTTGGGCAATTGCCCATTCTGTTTCCTTTGACTGGTTTCTAACTGAGAGTTACAAAGTTCCCATTCCCAGGCACTAAAGTGGCATCGGTTGGGACACAGGAGGGACTCTTGGGGTTTTAGGAGGTGAAGGCAGTTTTTTAATCCATGAGCTTGACTGGCCTCTGTTCACCACCCCAAGCCCACACCACGCCCGCCAAGTGAGGTGAGGTGGCGCAGTGGGGGAAAGTGGGGGCGCAGCCTCGGCCAGCTCAGCCTGGACTCCACGGGAGGGAGGCCTGGGGACAAGCGATGCCTGCTAGGACGACAGCCCCCCGCGACTCGGCCTACGCATCTCACACAGCCTCCTTCTCCAAAGCCAGCCACGGGGCCTTCACAATCCTGCTTCTGCTGCTAGTAGCATGGCAAATGCCGAATCTGGCTTCTCAGCAAGGACTTCGGGTTTGTCAAACTCAATCACCTGTAAGTCAGAGAGGAAGAACTGAAATTGCCAGAAAATACCCACCCAGCATGAGTACCAGGCACTGCAGCCTCTGGGGGCTGGTCCACGGCAGCTCCCGCACCTTCCCGCTCTCCATGACCAGGACGCGGTCGCAGTTGAGCACCGTGTTCAGGCGGTGGGCGATGGTCAGCACCGTGCAGCCCCTGAAGGCGCCCTTGATGGCGCTCTGGACCAGCGCGTCAGTCTTGGAGTCCATGGAGGCAGTGGCTTCGTCAAGGAGAATGATCTGTCCAGGGAGGAATGTTGGAAAGTCACACTACACGAGCGCTGTGCCGAGAGGGCACTATTGGCTCTATTTACTAAAAGAAGAGAAGGAGGAGGAGGAAGAGCTGAAAATTAGGAGCTAAGCATCCATCTCAAAAAGTCAGAAAAAGAAGTGCAAAACAAGAGTCACATCACATCACCCCCATCTTTCTCAGAAGAATTTGCTGGAGGAGCCTGGCTGTATATTCTTTACTCCTCTTTCTAAGTGAGCTGTTCCAATCCTGCAAACTCGTCCTAAGAAACTGCACGGGCTTTATTCACTGTACTACCGTGAGTGGGTATGAGGTATAATAACAAAACTTATATTCATTTCCTGTTGCTGTGATAACAAATTACCACAAACTTAGAGATGTAAAAATACAAATTTATTATCTTACAGTTCTAGGTCAGAAGTCCTAAAATCCAGGCATTGTCAGGGCTGCCTTCCTTTTGCAGGCTCTAGGGAAGAAACCAGTCCCTTCCCTTTTCTGGAGGCCACTGCATTCCTTGGTCCATGGCCCCTTCGCGGCATCACAGCTCCTTCTTTCTCTTTGACTCTTCTGCCTCCTTCTTATAAAGACCCAGGTGGATACACTAGGCTTGCCCGGACCCAAGGACAACCCCCCATCTCCAGATCCTTAACCACATCTGCATAGTCCCTGTTGCCATGTGAGGTAAGGCATTCTCAGGTCCTGGTTATCAGGAAGGACGTGGACATCTGGCATGGGCCAGGTCAGGGGGAGGGTATTATTCTGCCTATCACAGGGCTGATTTGATTTTGAAAATCAGAACACGTGAACCTAGCCTGATGTGGTTTGGATGTTTGGCCCCTCCAGATGGAGGTGGAGAGGTGATCCCCAGTGTTGGAGGAGGGGGTGTGGGGGTCATGGAGGTAGGTCCTCATGAATGGCTTGGTGCCCTCCCCGCCGCAATGAGTGAGCTTTCCCTCTGTGAGCCCCGCAAGCGCGGCTGTCTGAAGGAGCCCGGCACCGCCACGCCCTCTTCTGCTCCTGCTCTCACGGGCCACACCTGCTCCCTCTTCACCTGCCAACCCGATTGGAAACTCCCTAAAACCCTCACCAAAAGCAGACGCTGGTGTGAAGCTTCTTGTACCATCAGATCAGTGGCCAAATAAGCCTCTTTTCTTTACAAATTACCCGGCCTCGGGCATTCCCTTTACAGCAACACAAAATGAGCTAACACGCAGCCCCTAGCGCTGCTTGCCCTTAGCCAAGTCCCTCAGCTTCACTGAGGCTGTGCTCCATGTGCCTTAGTATGAGCGTGACATGCAGATGGCACGCAGGGCCCGCGGCAGCGGCAAGTGCCACAGTGGGCACCGAGGCCGTGCCGGTTCCCTCTCCCCTGGCGTCAGCGCATCCAGAGGACACCATGGGGCCGCGCCGTTGGCGAGCAGTCAGAGATCGGCATTCCTACGGCAGCGGTAACCCCTTCCCGGAAATCAGTAAGCAAGGGTGGCTAAGTCTTTAAGAAAAATAACTACGAATTTTACATCTCATACATCCTACCATCTTGATGGCCTCCAGTGTCCTGGGTATTGTTTATCAAGACTCGGAATTGTTTGGGGACAAAGGGAAAAAGATGAAAGGCAGATTTTTCAATCTCAAACCACTTAGGAGAGCAGAGAGAATGCCTAAACAAGACCTCCTGGGGGGAGCCGGCGGGAGGAAGGTGCTACTGCTGTAAATGGCTGCTATTTTTCAATTTTTATCCCTCACAACTTTGTCTTAATAAAAAGTGATTGGTTCTTAAATGGCTCAGTTGCTCTCTCTTTCCTGAAAGACAAAGCACAGCTCTACTTCCTGGATTGAGTGGCGCTGCAGGAATTATCCAACGTTTGACCAATCCATTTGCTGTGCTGTTTTCTTACTTTTGAATTACGGAGAAGTGCTCGGGCCATACAAAGCAGCTGACGTTCCCCCACTGAGAAGTTTTCTCCGTTTTCCATGACTTCTGCCTGTAATTTTTCTGGGAGCTTCATTATCTATAAGACACAGAAAGCGCTGCATTGTGCTGATGGTCTGTAAAATTGCCCTGCACCGTCTGTATCGATTACCCCCTCTAACATTCATCAGCTTGCTTTATTTTACTGTGGAAAGGAAAGTGCGAAACAACAATCATTTCAATACTGCAAACAGGCACCAGGGAGAGACCGGGGAGCAGGCGGACATTTCCAATTGAAAATCGCTGCGTGGTTCACAGGACGGCGTAGGCAGCTCACCAAATAAGCACAAGCGGTGCACAGGCAGTTCCAGAGAGCACACAAACAAGCAGAAATGACTTTCAAGCTTGCTATTTCCAAGGAAAAGCTAGAGGTGGGAGAGGAGGGTTGTCTGGGCATCAGAGAAGAGTAGGACAGGTCTGGTGTGTCCGGCATGCTGAGTCAAAGGGCTTTGGGAAGTGTTCACCTTCGTTCCAAGTCCTGGAAAAGCACCCCCTGGGCTGCAGAGGTGGCATGGTCATCTGCTGACCCCAGCCGGGCACAGCACTTACAGGACAGGGTCCCCCTCACAGATGGTTCAGTCCCCTGAAACCAGACATACTTGCCATTCCCAGAACATTCCACACGCCCTCATCTCTCTGTGGTTTATGTCTGATAAGCACACGCAGCATCGGCAAAGCAGCAGGGCCTGCCATCTGCTCTAGGACCAGAGGAGCTTAGGGTCAAGTGTCCATTCTGCTGCTCGAGAGCCTGGACGTGTTACCTCCCTTAGCTTTCATTTCTGCATCTTTAAAATTGGGATAAGAGTGCCAGTCTCAGAGGGTAATGCATGTAGGTCTCGATGGCCGCGTTGCACAGCCCTGCAGTTGCTTTTAATAAAGAGCAACTAGCGACTGCATTCCAATGACTTATGTGTGCCCACAAATAAGCGCGGCCATGCGCTGGCCCAGGTGCTTGTCAGACCTAAACCCAGGCCAGCGGTGCTGGGAAACGCGCTCGTCCCGACAGCCCAAGACCTACTGTGTCTCTCATGAACGTTCTCTCCAGAACCTGCCAGAGCATCTCGTCGGTGTGACTTTCAAAGGGATCCAAGTTGTACCTGCAACGAAGGAGAGGAGAGGCAGCCGCGCTGCGGCGCCGGGCGGTGGGCGGCTCTGCCGCGCTGGGGACAGCTGAGGCGGCGCGCTGACCCGCTTGACGGCAGCCGTGCTCGGCCCCAACGGCGGCCCGTAAGACACTGACCGCTGACCTCAGCCCAAGAGACCAGAGAGCCACAGCTCTGTGGTGAGCAGGACCACTGAGGCGAGCAGGGACAGGGGAGACCCTGCCAAGAGGCAGCCCCGAGCCAGGTGCTTAGAAAGACACAGCGGGGCCCCCAGAGCCGGCGCCGCGCAGTGGTTTGACCTGACACCGGTTCCTGGCCGCCAGAAAGGGAGGAGCACCTCGACCCCGCTGCGCCCGCTCCGCCCGCCAGGCAGGAGGGGCCCCTGCGGCTCCGGCCCAGAGGGCTGCGCGTCTCAGGGGCAGGAGGCGTGTCACTTGAGTCAAGAGACAAGATGTGTTTTTCATCCTGCAAACTCTACAAACAGTAAATACAGTTCTTCCCTGGCTTCGTCTGCTCTCACAGGACAGATGTTCCTCCGGTCAGTGGGACAGCCACCGCACTGCACAGAAGGGGAGACTGGGGCTTTCCCTGACGCCTCGACATAGATCTCGGGCCCACAGAAGTTGCAACCCTACTGTTCTTCGACTTGAAAGAGCTTCTGTTCACTCCACAGCAGAAATAAATTAATGCCCTTCCCATGGGATAGCTACAGTCATGGGGAAACCATTTATTTTATTGTGCAAACTGGAGTACTATGCAGAATGGCCACGGCCAAACCTGTCAGAACCTGAGACAGTCACAAAGGAGGGTTGTCCAGGGCCACTGGAATATCTGCTCAGCCTATGCATGTTTCTTGCTTATTTAATTATTAATAATGTGCTTATTAAACACAGGTAATTGCCGGCTTCTCCCAAGGTTTGACCCAGAAACAGGCACCGGCAGTGCTGTGAGCACCTTGGGAATCTGCTTCCCTCAGAAGAACAGCCCAGGCTTGCCATGTCCTAGGGACATCACAGAGTTCTTGATCAGTATGTCACTTTCCAAAAATAGGAATGCACGATGATCAAAAACAGCTACCTTACTGTACCTACAAACAGGACAGGATCCTGCGGGATCACAGTCAGCTTGGTTCTGAGGTCTTCCAAACTGATGGTGCAGATGTCCACCTCATCAATGAAGATCGTTCCGCTGGCCGGCTCCACCAGACGGAACAAGGCCATTCCTAACGACGACTTTCCTAGCAACAATAAAAGCAAGAACAACTTCCATGATATCCAAGTGTTCAATTAAAGGACGTTTTAATGCAATGCATATGGTTCTGTGCAGATGATGGTGCAGACAGAAATTTCTGGGGGTGGGGGACGGGCTGCCCTAATGCAGTTAACTGGCCTGTCCCTGCAGGGGCCCTGAGCACACAACTCATCCTCTGGGCCTTGTTTCACCAGCATGATTCTCATTCAGCTAGTTCAAGAACTTGTGTGTTTGCTCCACCTTTGCACACCCATTCCACCTGAACCCTAATTTACAGCAAAGAGAACTGAGAAAAGACAAATCCAACCTGACACACAAACGCATCACTCTCTGGTGTGGTTTAACCAGTGCAGCCAGGTGGAATGCAAAGAAAACAACCTGAAAGAAACAAACGCAGAGCTTGTCCTCACCAGAACCTGTCCTTCCGACAATCCCGACTGTCTGCCCACTTTGTATGTTCAAGTTCAGCCCCTCGAGAACAAGGGGGGTGTTGTCTCTGTATCTCATCTGATAGTCTCTGAAGGTTATCTCCCCACGGCTGGGCCAGTCCTTGGGACAGGCTCCCACTCTGAGGGGACGAGTGCATTCTGGAACACAGGTCTGAAAAGGAGAATAACCAGTGACAGGTTAGCCGTCGTGTGGTTTTCCAGCCATCCACCCACTCACACAGTCTTAGGTACTGGCATTCACGGTGGTGAACCAGACCAGTAAGGACTGTGCGCTCAGAGAACTCGCATCCCATGGGCATGTCAGCTGATAAGAAAAGTCTCAGAGATTAAGACAGCGAAACAGAATATTGTCATGCAACATAGAAAATGATTTGTGCGGTGGGCAGCGGCAAGAGGCATAAGCGTGTGATGCTTGAGGGCCGAAAAAAGCAGCTGTGAGGATGTGGTGTGGGGCCTGGGACCTGACATGCGGGGAAGATGCCTGCTGCTGAAGATGCCAGTCCAGAGCCTTCCAGGAAAGGGGGGACAGCACGTGCAAAAGCCCTGAGGCCAGAGCGAGCTTGGGCAACTTGAGGACTAGAAGAAACAGTCACACGGCTGGAAATCAATGAATAGAGGGATGGACGCCCTAGAGGGACAAGCAAGGGCAGCTCAGCCTCGTGGACCTGGGTGAGGGTCTGCAGTGCGGCCTTGAAGCTGGGTGACAGAGCCACACAGAGCCTTGAGATTCACAGAATTCAACCAGATATAATTTCAGTATTTTTAAGAGTCATTGTGGTGCCAGAGCAGAAAGATGACAAGAATGCAGGATGGCGAGTTGAGGGCTCTCTTTACAGTTACACAGACCTTTAAGCTTCCTAATAGTCCAAGAAACGCAAAGTCTGACTACGGAGCAGAGCAGCTCGGCTTCTTGGCAGGACCAAGCACTGCGCTCACGTTACGGAGCCGCGGTTGACAGCCAGAGCACAGGGATCCCGTTTAATAAGCAACCACAGTTAGGTGAGAAAACAATTGTATCCTTAGAGAGTATTTTTAACCCCTAGAAGATTTAGGATTAAAAACAAACATACTTAAGAGAAACAAAACTGTAAAAGTAATATTTTTAGTTTAAGGAATCTGTGTACTTGGTGTTTCAAGTATTCACAATATTAATAGAATCTGGGCTTGTGAATCTAATTTAAAATGTATAATTTAAAAATTGATTGAAACATGATATTAAGTTAAAAGCTTACTGATTACATATGGCATTGGAACTGTCATGAGAACTTACAGCTCACTATATTTATAAGTTTAACTTAATAGATTTATATAAACTCAGAAAAATGTGTTTGTTAAATGAGATCATTGTGGTACTTAAAAAGGAAATTGAATATATTAAAATTTAAAATTTAGTTTAAAATGTTTTAAAGTGTTTAAGTTCGTGATTGGGACCAAACACTATTCAAAGGCCCTTAAAAGCCATTAATCAAATTGGCTAGACTTTTGTTCAAAGAATAGTGAGATTTATAAGCTGAATATAAAAGTTTTTAAAGAAGATTTAGATTTTTTAATTTACAACTTTACTCAAACATTAATTTTTAGAAACCAAATTAAGCCACTGAATTGTCTTTTTCTGTGTATGGAAACTGCCCTTAAGGAAGTTTTTTTTTTAAAGAACCTCACTTTCAACATCAAGAACTTTAAATTGCATTGTAAATATGGGTTTTAAGAAAAGGAATGATGGTCATATATTGGCTTCCAAAAAACCCCCTCCCACATGTAAAAGGAGCAAATCCTTGCCTAAGTCCTGCCAGAGTTAACTGGCCCCTCTCGGCCACATTCCTTACCGACAGGTACTCCCTCAGCAGCTCCACGGAGGTGAACTTGGCCTGGGTCTCCGTCCCCGTGCGAATGCACACTTGGAGCAGTCCGCTGAGCTGGTGGAAGGGGACACGGCCGGTGAGAGCCCGTCCTGCTCAAGGCTTCACCGCTCCACACTCGGGGGCGCCCTTGTGGACCCCTCCCTGCCTCACACAGGGCCGTATGGACAGGCCTGTGCTCCCAGCCAGGCTACCAGAAGTACAGACCTTCCTGTTGCAGTGTTTTGCCTTTAATCACTTCCTTTGCATTTAAAAGCAAATGGTAATTTCATTTCCCTGGCAGTGCTGGGTCACAGGCCTCTTTGAGCAGTGGGGGCTCTCCCTGGGTGCCACAGAGCCGCTGGGTGTCAGCCCCTACTGCCACCTGGTGGGTCCCACATCTCAGCGATCTCCCACCACCATCACCTTGGCCAAGAAGCTGCTGAAGACCCCCTCACCATAAGTGACCAGAAAACCAGCCAGCCCGTCTGCTTGCTATGGAATGACACGGCAAGGCCAGAGGGGGTGAGTGGCTTGCTGAAGTCACCCACCTTTGGCCTGGGTCCCCCAGAAGCCAATCCTGAGGTTTGATTGCAAGTAGTGAAGAGGGCAGGTTGAGGGGTATCCCCACCCTCAAAAGATATGTCCATGTCCAAATCCCTGGAATCCGAGAATGTTACCTCATTTGAAAAAAGGATCTTTGCAGGTATAATTAAGGATCTTGAGATCATCCTGGATGACCTGGGTAGGCCCTAAGTACAATGACCAGTGTCCCTATAAGAGACACAGGAGGGAAGACACAGAGGAGAAGGGGGTGAAGGCAGAGGCAGAGATTAGAGCGAGGCAGCCGCAAGACAAGCAATGCCACAGGCCGCCGACAGCCACTGGGAGCTGCGAGGGGAGGACCGAGTCTCCCGGGGCCTTCAGAGGGAGCGTGTCCCTGCGACACCTCGGCCTTGGACTACTGACCTCCAGAGCTGTGAGAGAATACGCTTCTCTCGTTTCAAGCCAGAGGCTCGTCACAGCAGCGCCGGCAAACTGACACAAGCCCCAGGGTTCAGGGTGGGAGCGAGGTGGGGGAGGGCAGCGTCCCCAGGCCTGCGTGAGCGGCTGCCTGGGGCAGCGGGCTCCATCCGCAGGCACTCTGGGAGGCTGCGCGGAGCATGCCCCAGCGTTGTCCCCTGCCGGGGCAAGGACGCTGGCGTGCACATGACTCCCTTCCGTCACGACTGAGGCTGCTCCTGGCTATGGAGCTCCCTGAACCTCCAGCCTGCCCTGCCTGGGCTTGGACTGGCTGTTGGGGCCAGCTGGCCTGCCCAGGAAGGGCAGGGCAGCCACGGCACCTGTCGCCAAGTGGGCTAGAGGCAGGGCCAGTCTTACGCAGTAGGGAGCATCATTTACTAAAGCAGCGGAGACAGGCCAGGTGCGGGCCGGGACGCTGGATTCCAGGCTCGAAGGCTGCAGGCAAGGTGCCTGCACTCGGGCTTTCCCTCCAGCAGACGGCGGGGCGGTGCCAAGGGGCTCGGGAGCAATGCCCACGTCAGCACAGCGGGGGCGGGGAGCGGGGCTGGGGCCGAGGAGTTCCCCTGGACAGGCTGGTTCAGGAAGACTACGTGAGCAGAGGCATTTGCGACAAGAAGTCCACCAGGCAAACCCCAGGTGAGACGCTCTGGTAAGAAGCCAGTGGCCTTAACAGCAGGGCGGCAGCGGCCGAGCAGGTGAAGGAGGGTCCAGGCCGCGAGCGCTCCTCTCAGCAGCCTCCACTGCTGCCTTCACTCCTCTTAGAGTGATGGCTCTCACTTATGCCCCAGAGGACATTTGGCAATGTCTAGGGACAATTTGTTGTAACGAGGTGTGGGGGGTGACAGTAACACTGTACCTCCTGCGCACAGCCCAGGGACGCTGGCCGCGCACGGGACAGCCCCTCGCAGAAGGGATCATCTGGCCCAGACGAGCACAGCACTGAAGCTGAGGAACGCTTTCTTAGAACGCAGGCCACACCCAGCCGCTGACGAGCGGAGCTCTGCAGGTTCCGGCCCTGCCGCCGCGGGCGTGTTTCCACTGCTTAGCTCAAGCCGCAGGGGCCCAGCCGCGAGCCCGCGGAGCCTCGCCTGAGCGCGGTCTGCAGGCTCCCGCAGTGCCCGCGGCCGGCTCTGCCACTCGGTCTCAGCTCAAAGTCTGAAGCCGCCTCCCCGCAGAGGCCTCCCCGACTGCGGTGTCATGCTGCTTCCCCTCGAGACGGCCACGGCTCACAAAGCGAGCTGCTTTTCCAGAACACTTGAACACGTTCCGAAGCCTTCCCAGCTGTCCCCTTGCCACGTGTTTGCTCGAGCTCCACGCCGAGTGCCGGCTCCGCTGCCGAGTGCCGGCGCGTCCGGGCTGCGCGCTGCTGGGCCGCAGCTCCTGGCAGAGCTCCTGGCCGGTGGTCAGCGCTCAGTGGATGCTCAGTCGATGAAGGAGCGAGCACTGCGCGCACGTGCGTGTGTGAGGGCACATCCCACGCTGCCACGTGCCCGGGAGCAGCTCCTGCAGCCGGGGAGGCCTCCCAGGCAGCGCCGCGCTGGCCGCAGTGAGTGCTCATTCTCCACTTCGTGTCGTACGGTGTGCTTTGCATTCCCTTTCTGCTCTGTGGGATTTCAACCCAATTTCTCTTCCATCTAGGGAGTCTCCCCTAGTCTCAAGTGAAGCTCTGTCATTTTGATTCCATGTTCTCCGGGGATGGGGAGGTGGCGTTATGCTTAACAGAGCCACAAGGCCAGCTGCAGCACAAGTGTCCCCAGACTCAAAGTGTGCAAATTTGCCTGCGACATCACGGGAATGTTGGAAACCAAAAGTATGACCGTAGTTGGGGAAAGTTGATTTGCTTGGACAAATTAAGCAAAACCGCTCAACATCATCTGTTTGACATTTTACTAGATGACAAATTAAAACATCCATCAATAAGGGAAACTGGCTACCCAAGGAAAATTCATTTTTTTTCCACTTAAGATAGAGTACTGAGAATACATTTTTATTCCTTTGCCCTCCAAAAGTATCATTTCAGTGATATCAGAGGAATTTTCAAAAAAGAATAGACCTTGAACAGCAAGGGGTGGAGAAGAGACATCAGTGAATGAGAGAGGTACAAATTTCTGCAAGATGACAGAGGATGAAAGCCTGCTGAGACAACAGAAGCAGAATGTGCCACGGGGCTTACAAGCTTCTGTCTCGCAGGGCCCGGAGAGCCCCGGGAGGGGCCACAAAGAGGCTGTTTGACAGTCTGCGTGGGGACAGCTACTCCCACCACACCCCGTTACCCCTCGCCTCCTCTTCTTTCTTCCAACCAGTGGCAGCTGGACACTCCGTCCTTAGGTACGGGAGCATGCACCCACACGTACACACATGCGACTGTCTCCAAAGAAACTGCACTAGCGACCTGGGGATGAATGGGCCCCCAGAATAGTGCCCTAGATAAAGGCTCCTTTCAATCCAGCATTCGGGCGCTAAAGGCAGCTCCTGGCTGCGCTCCTGAGCAGCCAGCCTCACCACTCACCCACCCGCAGCCACCAAGCTCCCATCTGGAGGGACACAGCACGGCACATGCAAAGGCAGAGGAGACCTGAGCACCCAGACCAGTCCCTCATCTTAACCACTTCGGTACAGCGCTCCCGGCCGGCCCTGCCCACAGCGCGCGGGGCCAGGTCTGCGCTTTGGCCGGGCCGCTCGCTCCTGCGGCCGAGGAGCGCTTGGCAGCACTGACGGCGGCTTCAGTTCACGGGCAGCTTTCCTTGTCATGGAAATCAGAACAGGTAACACACACACGTATGTTTCATTACGTTATTTTTAAATGTTCACAATTTTATTTTGATAAAAGAAAAATTAGAAAAGTCATATCACGGCTGTCAGCTAAAGTCGCTGTGCCGTCACCGTGGCTGTCGACTACAGTCCACGCTTGGCTGTGCGTGTTCATCTGTGGCTGTCGACTGTAGTCGACGCTGGTACTGAAGTGGTTAGCTACAAATGGATCAAGAGGCAGACAAACAAAACCAGTGGCATAAAAACAAGAACCTGATTAAAGGAGAAAAGCTGGCTCTGAATAAAAACAGATATAAGACAAAGAAGAGAGTTTAATAGGGGGAAAAAACTCTAATTAATATTAGTATCCTCAGAGAGACTCAAAAATTATTACAACCATGTAAAAAACAATTCTTCTAGAAACTCAGAGAATAAGAAAGAACTTGTAAAATTAAATATATGAATATATAAAAATTCAAAAGAATGGCTGAAAGCCAAAGCTAAGGAAAATTCTGAGAATAGAAAAAGACAAGAAAATGGAAACTTTGAGATAAATAAAAGGTAGCAGAGAATTGATGCAAGAAACCCAATATTCAACCAATATTTTCTTCACATAAAGAAAAAACGGAAACAACTAGGAATTGTCAAAATAAAGGAGAAAAGAATAAATTTTTTCAAGCTAAAGAGAGATTTGACGTTAATCTAAAAGAATCCAGAGCATCAAACAGACCACATGAAAAAAAGGCCACACTCAGAAACATTGCCCTAGAGTTTCAGAGCATCAAGGATAAGGACGACATCAGAAAAGTTTGCAGAAAGAAAATTGAGGCATTTATCAAGGAACAAGATTTAGACAACCAGGAAAAATGGCCTGAGTTGGAATCCCAGCTCTCACACATGATGGGTGTGTGATCTTGGGCAAGTCTTTCTGGGTCTCAGTTTCCTCATCTGCAAAATGGGGATTATGGCAGTATCATAGTGTTGGGGGAAAATAAATGGATAAATTTAGGTAAAGAATAGTGCCAAGCCTGAGCAAGAGTGAGACCCATCTCTACTTAAAAAAAAAAAAAAAAGAAATTAATTGGCAAACTAAAAATATATATAGAAAAAGTTAGCAGGGCATGGTGGCGCATGCCTGTAGTCCCAGCTACTCGGGAGGCTGAGACAGAAGGATCGCTTGAGCCCAGGAGTTTGAGGTTGCTGTGAGCTAGGCTGACGCCATGGCACTCCAGCCCAGTAGCTCAGGCAACAGAGAGAGATTCTGTCTCAAAAAAAGAAAAGAACAGTGCTGAAGCCAATCATAGTCAGTGCCATGTTCATCTTTGTTATTATTCAAAAAAAAAAAAAAAAAGAAAGAAAACAACCAAGAAGAAAAGTTGGTTATCATTTGTCAGGGACATTGTGATTTCCACGCCAGTATTCATTTCCCTTCCCCTACTGTGGAGGGCCATGTGACTCCATCCATTAGCCTAAACCAATTTCCTAATCCCATCAAACCACGAAACAGTTCTGGGACACCTAAATCAATGCAATAAGAGAAAGCTCAGGGGCTTTGCTCAGTGGCTAAGGCAGTGAGCCCCCTCTTGCTTTCTTCCTGCTATGGGTCCTGGGGGCTGTGAGGGAAGCCATCGCAAGGGGAGGGCAAAGCAAAGAGCCATGATCCAGCTGTGCCTGAAGGCCACACAACTGCCTGACTTTGAATGATGTAAGCCACTAAGCTCCCTTTACTGTTTAAACCTATTTGAGTTGGCTTTTCTTTGTTATGTCCATCCAAAAGCACAATCCCCAAGATATTCTATGCCAGAGCCTCCAGGCCAGGCCCAACCTTGCACAGTTGTTACCTGGATGATGTAAGACAACGACAAGCCTTTGGATGAAGCACTGATTGAGGAGAAACTCAGGGTCACCAGCAAGGCCACAATGAAGGTGACGATGTTCATGAGGAAATCCATCCTTAGAGCAAACCACCTGAGAGCACAGTTAAAGTAGAGGAGGTGGCTGGAGTTTTTGTCATTTAGCATCTTAAACCTAAAATTAAGAAAATTAGATAAAATAGAAGATCCGCTTGTGCTTCCATAGACTTAGGGCTAGGGCTTCTGGGGAAGAAAGGCAAGGGAATTTTAATCAGCAGTAAACACTTAGAGAAACGAGCATGTATCTGTACACGTCCATGCTCTTTCAATCTGCCACCACGGACATCCTTGAAGTGCACATATGCTGAGAAATCCCACGTGGCAGTAGGGTGTGGTGCTGAGTGGGCTCTGCCGGTCTTTCCCAGAACTGACAGCGGGAACCCGCCGCAGAGAAGAAAAGGCGCCAAGTACCTCACACTCAACCCCCGACCCCAGAGTCAGCCCTCCTTGGCCTTGTGGAATGACAATGGTCCCCTTGCTCCATAAGGAGGCAGGGAGTGTGGGTGGAGGAGGTCACCTTTAGAGGAGGGAAGGGAGGTGCTGGACCGGCTCCCCGCCCCTTATCAGAGAGAGAAGTTTCAAGATAATGCTTGCAAAGCGGGAGTCTCCCCAAGGAGGGGAATCCGGCATCTTGTTTCTTGGCTGCCTGTCCACTAAGCCAGAGGGCGTGCTGAGGGAGGGGCCCAGTGCAGGGTGACAGAGGGACGGCACAGGCAGGAGCCGGCGAGACCCACTCCTGGAGTCCCTCATCTGGGAGCGAGTGGCTCCTAGAGTTGACAGCACGGAGGGAAGACGACATTTGGGGCTACGGTCTTCCTCCGGTGATGCAGAGAGGCCGCCAGGGCACAAGGGCGCAGCGCGAGGGCTGCCCGGCAGAACCGCCGCAGACGCAGTGTGCCTTGCCGTGCGGCAGTGCCCGCAGAGCTGCTGGAGCGGGGCCTGGCGGGCCGATGCCATCCCATGCCTGCACAGCGAGCTGGGCCGGAGACTGTGACCCGGGCAGGCAGCAGCTGCCTGAGGCTGTGTCCTGCCCGCTCCCCACTCTCCTGCACCAGCCCCTGAGAACCAGGCTGAGAGAAAGGGGCGAGGAGGTTTAGGAGAACAGACGGTGCTTCCCACTGCAAGCCTGCCCCCAACACACGTGCACACACGCGCACAGCACGCGCACAGCACGCGCACAGCACGCGCAGCCTGGCCACGCCAAGCCTCTGAGGGGAACAGAGAGCTGTGACGTGAACATACTCAAGATTGAAATTTCAACCGCATTGAACAACCATTAACCAAAAGAGACATCAATTGCCACTGAGGGGTCCCTGAGCTAGTGGGAAAGGGGCTTCATCAGAACAACTGGTATAAATTATCGGGAAAAAAATAAAAACCTTTCAGTGTTTAACCCCTTAAGGAGTGCCAGTCCCCTGGCACAGTCATGAACACTCTTGGGCATCGCTGCTCCACCCTGTCCTCAGAGTCCTGCAAGGAACCCCGGGAGCACCCCCGGCCAGCCCGCCTGGCTCTGCCACACCCTTGTCTTTCCTTTCCGTTCCAGTCTGACTTGCTTTCCCCAGAGCTTAGTCAAAATATTCTTCCAAACATTGTGTTGTTTCTAGCATGCAGCTCTCCGGCCTATAAATTCATCTGACAGCTTAAGTGGCTTAGAAGTCATCTCCCTGCCTCTCTGTGTGGTCAGTTAGATTGTGCAGAAACAAAATCACTAGCTGAGATTGAATTGGAATGTGACCTCAAATATGTTCTATTTTTAATGCTGCAGCAATTTTCATCTTGTGGCAAAAGCCATACACATCAGGAAGCCCAAGCCCTCAGGAGAGAAAATATTAAAAGAAGGGGAGCCCCCATCTGTCCTGCTAGGCTTTCTATAGGATTCTCTTTGGAATCCCGCAGGAAGATCTACAAGAACACAAAGCTTGGATTTGTTTTGCTTGTCATGGGTGAGTAGATAAACAGCCCTGGGGACGTTCCCCATGACCAGGACACTGGAAGAGTCTACATGAGATGCAGGACTCTTGACAAATGACATTCAGGTCACACTAGGAACAGGACTAGCTGGTGACAAAACCAAAGACAGGTTGTGACATCACATTACAGTGAGATTCTGGGTGGCAACATGGGAGAGCGAGAGAGAAAAAGTTAGATGCGAACATGGAGGAGTGTGTTCGCTTTCTAAGAAAGTAAAAGACAGGAGGAAAGAACATCAGTGTGGGATGGACTGCCACAGAGTCCCCAGACTCCACTGCCTTGTCCTCCTGTGGACATGGCTGGACTACATTTCCCAGCCTGCCCTGCACTCAGGTGGGCCCATGGGACTGAGACCTGACCAACCAATGGCAGGAATCTTGAGACGCTTTGCTGGGGTTGAACCTAGAGGTTTCCCATGGGTCCTCCCTCCTGCCCTCTCCTGAGGGTCCTGGAGAAGACCCCAAGGCCTCTGGGATGGAAGAGCCCCAGACAGAAGGAGACAGTGCCTGAGTGCAGGCTGGATCCCAACCCCTCTTCCCCACCCTCCATAATGTGTGACTTGAGGAAAAATAAACATTTGTTGTGTGAAGTCCCTGAGATTTGGGGTTGTTACTGCAGTGAACCTATTGTCATTGACACATTTCATACTGAATTGTATAAGCTTCCAGAGAAATTTGCTAATCTAGTCCCCACATTTTAAAAAGAAGGAAACACTAATTGAAGTGAAATGTGGCCTTTAAAAATTATATTTACAAAGAATATAAAATAATATGACAAATGTTTATTTTACATGTTAAGTAAATTTTTTAAAAATGATTATAAATTCTTAAGAAAAAGAAAACCCCATGAATAGACACAAAAGAAAAGATCAGAAGGAAATATATGAAAATATTAATAGGACTTGGGTTTGGGGGTTATGAGTGATTTTTTCTTTCTTTCTTTCTTTCCTTTTTTTTTTTTTTTTTTTTTTTTTTTTTTTTGCTTTGCCCTATTTTCCTGAATTGATATTTGATGGTGAAAAGTCACATTCTGGGGCTATCGTTGAAGGAGCTCCACTCATTCACGTCTCCTGGGGCCCCAGACGCTGAAGGTGTCTTGGCCTCTCCTGCCCGAGCCCGCCAGGCCAGTCCCAGAGGCAGGCTCCCTCCCGCAGCCAGAGAGACGTTTGCTCCCGCCCTCCCGCTCAGGCTCGGGCAAGACAGGGACCCCGGGCAGGGCCCAGCACAGGGCTCACCTCCTGATGCACTCTTCCTGTTTGTCATAGGTGTGGATGACGCCCAGGCCCTGCATGGAGGAGGTGATGTGCGAGAACCAGGGCGACCGGCTGACATTCTCCACCTGCTTGAGCTCCTGGACTCCTCGGTGGAAAACGCTGTGGAGAAATGGAGAGGGCGCAAGGGCTCACAGCGCAGCCCCAGCGGGCTGGCCCAGCACATGGTCAGAGACCACGGTGGGGACAGGACCGCCGCCACCTCCTCTGGGTGCGGGTCCAGGCCGTGGGAGAGTCTGAGAAACCACAGTGTCCTTCGTGTGGTCTCCTCCTACACCTCATGGCAGGAGTGTCTCTCTGCACAAAGTGTGCGTCCAGTCTGCAAAGACCAGAGCTTCTCACACGGGCAGCCCCTGAGTAGAAGCCAACCACTTTTTGGTGCCCAACTCGGGAAAAAGTGATCTATTCTAACTCTGGAGGAAAACCCGATGCACCCGGTGCCAATGTGTGGCCTTTCTAAAGGTAACTTGAAGGCAATTTTGAACAGACATTATGCAATAGCCTCGGGATTGAAACCGAACCCCAACAGGGCGCAGCGCCCCTTCACACGGGAGCTCCCGCAACCCTGGTGAGTGGGGACTGGGGACCTCCAGGCGTCCCGTGAGAGAGAAAGCAATCAGGCCTCCTGCCTCTCAGCTAAAACTGACTGGGGGGACGAGGAGGGAAACCTCCTGGGTTTGGAGCTCGAGCGAGTCAGTTGGAAACATCTGGATAACTTGGTCAGGACCAGCTCTGGCCTGTCTTGTCTTTGGAGCAGGAATTGGGGAGCAGGGCAGAGCAAGAGCTTTTGCTTAGTAAATCAGCGGCACAAACAAGAGAACAGACAGGAGCAGTGGTCAAATGGAAGGATTATAAAAATGAACACAAGCCCAGGGATCCCATTTTGAGAACTGACATCCAGGACATGCTCGTATCTTCGTAAAGGACTTTCAGAAATTATTTTTATTTGATCATCACAATAAGCCCTGGAGTTTGGAGATGGAGGCCCTGTGTCCCTTCTGGGAGCCTCCTCGGGGCCAAGGGGAGACTGCACGAGAGCCCAGCCCTCCCGACTCCCAGGGCACTGGTGCTGCTTCCCCAGCCACGCCAGCCCCAGGCCCAGGCCCAGCTGTCCACCGCAGCGCAGCCCCCACACCTGCCAGCGGACGCCAGCCCCGTCTGCGCACTCGGTGAACCAGCTCGAAACACCCACGACGGAACTTGTGACTTTCATCACCCAAACTGCCCCTCCCCCGCAGCCCTCCCGCCTTGGCGTGGCTCTGGCCGGCCCCATCTCCCAACACCCAAGGCTCCGCAGTCACGGAACCCTGACGGCGCCACCCTGGACTTGGAAGTGGCTCTCGGGTCCCTTCTCTTCTGCTCCTGCTGCTGCTGTGTTATGTCCCCATCACTCACACACAGACATAAACTTCAAGAGACCCCCACCTTGTAGCTGGCCCTGATCCTTCTGGGGCCCTGCTCTCCTCCACACTGCGCCAAAGCAACGTTCTTAAAGCCCGGATCCGAACGTGGTGCCCTGGGCAAATCAAACAACCCCACTTACGGGTGGAGGCAGGTCTGGGGTTGTGGGCTGAAACTTTTATAATCTGGGGCATTTTCTTTAAGATCCCAATGTCCAATCCAGGACTGGGCACATCAAGGAGCATAATAAATGATTGCTTTTAGTTACTGATTTTTATGGAAACTTACATAATGCCTTAGTCCATTTTTAATCTATAAGCATGCAGTCTCGCTTGATCCTCGTGACATGCTCTCTGAAACAGGCGAGGCATGTGCTTTAGTGTTAACCATTTTGGGGAGAGGACACTGAGGGGTGCAGCGTTTCTCTGACTTCCCCAAGATCTTCCAGCTAGTCTTGTGGCAGAACAGGAGCTCCAACGCAAAGTTCTCTGATTTGCAGTGCTTTGCCCTCGCTCAAGGTCCACCGTGCTATCTGCTTGGAGCCCCGAGAGGGGGGTGGGTCTGCAGGGAGGCTGGGATCATTGCCACCCTCCTGCTTCCCCCAGGGTGGGAGTGCACAGCCACAGCAAGAACCCCTGTGCAAAGCTGTCTGGGGCCTCTCTCTAACCACATCAATTTCTCAAAGCTCAGAGTGACTGAGGATAGGTGTCCTCCTTCTTCTCCAGCGAGAGGAATGGCAGAGCCCATGGTTAAGAAGATGTCAGCAGACCGGGCGCGGTGGCTCACGCCTGTAATCCTAGCACTCTGGGAGGCCGAGGCGGGCGGATTGGTCAAGGTCAGGAGTTCGAAACCAGCCTGAGCAAGAGTGAGACCCCCGTCTCTACTATAAATACAAAGAAATTAATTGGCCAACTAAAAAATATACAGAAAAAATTGGCCGGGCATGGTGGCACATGGTGGCACATGTCTGTAGTCCCAGCTACTCGGGAGGCTGAGGCAGGAGGATTGCTTGAGCCCCGGAGTTTGAGGTTGCTATGAACTAGCTTGATGCCACGGCACTCTAGCCCAGGCAACAGAGTGAGACTCTGACTCGAAAAAAAAAAAAAAGAAGAAGAAGGAGATACCAGCGGACAGACAGCAATCTTGCTTACTAGTTTCCCGGCCTGCGACCAGTGCCTTAACCCCCAATAATTTCCATGTCTCAGGGTTGCTCAGAGCCTAAAATGCCAGATGGATACCAGGCACTAGCACAGCACCTGGCATTGAGTAAGTGCTAAAAATCAATGTGTTCCTCCATCAGAGAAGACAGCAGGTGCTCGATATCACCTGATATGTACCCACCATTTTGCATAGTGAGCCCTGTGTGCAAGTGTATGTGCACATGTTGTTTTCTCCTTTTTAAATAGGGCATAGACCTACCGTAAAAGAATGAGGAAGCCCACAGCAAATCCAGCCACGACGAGAAGGACAGCAGGAAACACAGCAGCCAATACCACGAGAATAAATATCACCATAAAAAACTGCTGCAGAAAGTTCTCTGCGTGAAACGGCAGCCTCACATCCAGCTCGTCCATATCTTTGGAAAAACGGTTCATTATCCTGCCAGTGGGAGTCGTGTCGAAGAAGCTCATTGGGCTCTTTAAGATCTGCGGGTAAAAGCAAGAGGCTCTGACAAGTCAAGGCGCGTGTCTGGTAAACCCTGGCTGTCCTGGAATCGTGAGCGAAGGGCCTGACCTTGGCCTGACCTTTCTTCAGGGTATAGCATTGGTTAGGTGACCTTGAGAGAGAGAAAATGCTCCCGTTCTTGCAGCCGCCAGGAATGAGAGCGAGTGCGGAGACTCAGCTCTGTGAGGAGGTCCAGGGAGAGCCTCTGGGCAGGCTTGCCCTCCAAATCTGGGATGCAGCCTGGGGAGGCAGGTGGCTGGTGCCTTTGGAGGAGGGAGAAATTTGGTGCCCCAGGGCAATAGGAAGCTGAGCTCCACTCTGTCTCTTTACCCCTAGGCGTGGAACCCACCCGCACACTGTGCCCCGGCCCTCACAGCCGGTGGCTGCCGCCCTCCACAACCGCAGAACGGGGAGGGGCCATTGTGCTCCGGGCTCTTTGGGGCAGGAGATACCCTCTTGGCTTGCCCGTCTCTGGGCAGAGTGGCCTCCCCCACCTCCACCCGCAGCCCAGCCTGAAGGCTGGTGATGCACCCCACAGCTCCCTGGAATTTGCCTTCACGGTTGGTAATTAGCTACTTGGGACACTCCTCCCAGACTAGGCTATAAGCTCCATGATGGCTGTGTGTGTCCCCAGAGCCCAGCACAGTGCCTGGCACACAGCGGGTGTCAAAAAACCTTGTGGCCTGGATAACAGGATGTGCCTACAGCCCCTGGTGGCTGTACCTTGTCAAACACACTGTCGTGCAGCGAGGAGGATGCCCTCAGTGTGGTCTTGGTGAAGGTGCAGCCTTTGGTGATGGCAAACACTAGCATGGACACCATGCTCGCGGCGTACACCCACTGGTACACGTGCTGCCTCACATCCGCCAGGACCGCGCCAAGCTCACACATGGTCTTGTTGCCCTGGGGCCCACAGGCCATCTTTGGGGAAAAACAAGAGAAGCACCAAGAATTGGGAAACTGTCAGGAGAGTGGAAATTTTCCAGAAAGAAGAAACTAAAAAGAAATTCATAACTGCTGAGAATGAGTCAGGTGCGTAAAATCAAGTCCGTCCATCTGGGGGCTCTGAGCTTCGCATCGTCCCTCCTGGTGGCAGCCATGACTCCAGGGGGCAGATGACTTATGAGCTCAGCACACGCAGGTGTGCTCAGGGCAACCACCTCAGAAGCCAACTGCGCCAGGAAGATCACAGAAGCGAACAGGAGTCCAGGTCCCAGGAGGCTGGCTGAGCCGCACCTGGCAGCAGCAGACCAGACAGAGGATCAGGGACCAGCCTCCAGCGTGCCGGGCCACCTGGCGAGCCGCCGGGCCTTCGGTGAGACTTGGGGGCTTCTCTGTGCAATGGGCCCGCCCCACAGCCCTTCCTGACTCTTTTCCAGAGGAGCACGGCCCTGGAATCCCTGGCTGGGGGCGGGAACGTGGGGGATGCTGGGCTCCCAGAGTCCTGGAAAAACCCTGGCTCCATCCTGCCCCATGAGAACACACAATTTTGCCAGCATTTCTGGGAAGAGGCGTCTCCTCCCCCTGAGAAACTGGCAGTTCCACTTTTCTCTGGGCTGTGTGTGAAAAGTCAAGACTGCCTTTGGGGAGCAAACAAGCATCTTTCTTCTAAATGCCATTTCGCTGATTACAGTAATAGCGGAATGTAAACTAGAGGGGGCTGACAGGTGAATATCCGTAAAAGCAAAATCCCTGGGGAGGTGACTGAGACAAGGCCCAGCTTGAAGGGGAGACTTTGCTGTGCTTGGGCTGAGCCACAGTGTCAGGCGACCGGGGCGAGCACCTGGGGCAGCCGCCGCCTCTGCTTTGCAGTTCACCCGTGGCAGCTGGCCTACAGGGACACAGCAAGGCTGGGAGCAGGCTCCACCTTAACCCTAAACCTCGGGCTCTCCAAGGCAGGAGTGAGTGAGGATCTGGGAGACTACAGCTATTCCAGAGATGCCTCCTGATTTCTGCAGGGGGCAGGCCACCCTTCAGCCTCTCCCCTTGGGAATGGCCTTAGGCAGCTTGTGCCAAACAGCCTCTCCAGTGCCCAGGTGTCCCAGTGCCCCAGTGTCATAGCAACAGGGCTGCACCAAATGTAATCTGGGCAGGTGGGCAGCATTCTCTGTGGCTCCATAAAAGCTTTGAAACCACAGGCCAAAAGCTGGGAGAGCTTCCAGCAAGCTCAAGGGAGAGCAAACTTATCAGTTCCTCCCAGGAGAGACCCTGCAGAGAAAGGCCCCTGGTGGCCTGCAGCGTTTGCAGGGCCTGAGTCGATGCTTGCATGTCCCATTCCCGCAGAGGCGACTTTGGGGAGAGAGCCATGCAGAACCTTCTGGCACTGGGCAACGCCCATGACAAGATGCCAGCTTCTCTTTAGAGGCAGAAAGACACAAATCTGTGCCAGGCTCTCCTGGAGGGAACTTACGACAGAGGCTGCAAGACTGACTCCATCCTGCGCATGCTCGCCCCCACTTTTTCAGCCAACCCTTTAAAATCTAAAATTGGTGTATAAAAATCCAGATGTGCTGCTTGTCTGGAAAAATTGAAGGGGCTTTCAGGATTTGAGTCATCTGGCACAAACAACTGAACTCAGCTTCTTTTTTTTTTTTTTTTTTTTTTAGACAGAGTCTCGCTTTGTCGTCCAGGCTAGAGTGAGTGCCGTGGCGTCAGCCTAGCTCACAGCAACCTCAAACTCCTGGGCTCAAGCGATCCTCCAGCCTCAGCCTCCCGAGTAGCTGGGACTACAGGCATGCGCCACCATGCCCGGCTAATTTTTTTATATATATATCAGTTGGCCAATTAATTTCTTTCTATTTATAGTAGAGACGGGGTCTCGCTCAGGCTGGTTTTGAACTCCTGACCTTGAGCAATCCGCCCGCCTCGGCCTCCCAAGAGCTAGGATTACAGGTGTGAGCCACAGCGCCCGGCCTGAACTCAGCTTCTTGAAAAGGGCAGAAGGACACAGATAACCTCACTGATGCAGCAGCCATTTTACTCCAAGACAAAGGGAAGCTCACCTGGGAGCCCTCGTGTAACCAGAGACTCAGCCACCAGTTGCCAAAGGCGGAGCTGCCGATCATCAGGAAGAAGAGGGACAGGGTGAAGAGAGAAAGCAGGTACCCTGCAAGTGGAGGAGACAGGGCCGCGGGCCCAATGCTGATGGGAAACTCAAAGCCTTCAGGAGAAGGGCCCACCCCTGGACCACCTTCTTGGCTGATGCAACACATCTGGGTGCTGGGCCTGTACCCCAGTGGGGACATCTGTTCCACCTGGTTGGAAAATGGGTCCATATTGCGAACATACTGGAAAAACCACCAATGTGCACTTTCATAAGAGTGACTCACTATTCTTTCAAAGCAAACCAATAAAAACACAGTCTTATTGGGGAGAGACGGAATGCAACCACAGGTGGGTGATGCACACAGGACGGGAACCCTGTGTGGAAGCAGGCCATGGCTGCCGCGCCGAGCTCGCGGAAGAACCACAGCCGGTTCTCGCGGCTGCTCACTCGGCTTCAATAAAATTGAGTCTGGCAGTTGTAATGGAGATAAAGAATGATTCCATTTAAAAGGCTGTATCATCAGCCCTTAGTTTTTAGAGGGAGAAAGAATAAAAGCATTGATAGATGACTCTAGCATATAGAGAGTAACTGTTAAAGAAATCATAAAATGTGAACCCAACAGTTTAAAGAAGGGATTTTTAAAATGCAAATCAAATCCAGAAGCCCATTGTTTTATACTGAACCTCCAGAAGCCTTAATGTACGTGTGGTACGTCCTCCAGGTCACGGCTCCTTCCCAGGGGGACTCATTCTGCACGAGCTGGTGCGCAGGCACTGCGGGGACAAACACAGCCCTTGGCACTTGCAGCAGGTGGGGCCGCTGAGGCAGGCATGCCCCCCAGAGCTCCCAGCGCACTCGTGCTCATTCGTTCTACTCTATTCGGTCCTCAGTCCAGCCCTGTGAAGTAGGCTTTCCATCTTTTGAGAAATATTTGTTAAGCACCTACTATGTGCCCAGCCCTGGGGAAAAGGGGTTGCTTTGATCTGTTTCCCCCAGAAGCAGCACCCAGGAAGAGGCTTTGAATACGTATAGTTGATTTGGGAGCGGAAGGGAGTGAAAAGGAAGGCAACAATAAAAGGTGTAGCACCCCTCCAGCAAGCACTGAGGGCAACTAAAGCTTAATTCCATGTGGAAAAATCTCAGAGCCAATGTAGACTGACACCTCGGGCTTTTTCCACATGCTAGGAAGGATCTGGGATTTTTCTATTCCAGCTCCTATTGGCTATGTGGTGAGGGTCGCTCCCTGGGGGTTAAATCCCCAGAGGGTCCCCAGCAGAGGGATGCAGAGGTGGCAGCTGGGCTGCGCACGCTGACATGCAAGGGTGGGGTGAGAAAGGAGGAGGCGGTTCCCGTCTTCTCAGAGCTCACACCATGCAGAAGAAAGCCTGCCCTCTCCACACGGCTGTCCCACGTCCTCTCCATTCCCCAAGGGGAAGGGAAAATCACTGTCAAGTTCTCACGGAAATCACATTGCAGAGGAGCAAGGATGCTGGCTACAGGGAACTGGCTCCCAGCAGCCAGTTCTGAGCGCACACCTCCTCCCTCTCTGCAGAGAAGGTGCAAATGTCAGCTCCAAAGGGGGATCATAAACCATGCTTGGCTTTTATAAACAGAGATAAATAGGGTTAGAAGAGGGGCACCCCACACACGGACTCTGCACCCTGCCCCGAGGGGACAGCTTCACACCTCAAAGGCACCTCGCTGGACAGAGCCACCGTTACGCTCTCTGCCCGGGACCTGTGCTCCCTTGAGACGGCAGCCTGCCTTCCGCTCACTGTGTCTCACCGGCCCGCACGGGCGGCGCCTCTGCCTGCGGCTTGGCCCAGTGATGGCCGTGGCGCAGGAGGAACCGGCCAGTTTCCCGCGGCGGCGCTCTGCTCAGCCTCGGCTGCGCTGGCGAGGGGCTCTGGCTCCGGGCAGCGGGCGGCCGGCAACGGGCGGCCAGCGTGCTGCCTTTAAGGTCCAGGATCCTTGAGCGTCCTCACTTCCTGCGGCTCTCAGGGCACCGGACGGCCCTGCTGCCTGTCACTGCAGACCAGGCATCACTCCAGGGTCAGGTCTCACAGCTCCACGTCCCTCTCCTGGGCAGGGCGGGTGGGGGAACGAGGAGTGGGGGCCACTGCCCCACAGGACCCCAAGTCCCAGAGCTTTCTCTGGAAAGGTGTCTGGGCACTTCACTTCAGCCCAGGAAGCCTCTGGAAATGGGAAAAGTCTGTCGTCTTTCCCAACGTGCCCCCATTTGTCACCAACACCATTCTCGGTGCCAAAGTTCATTGATTCAAAGACTCGCTTTTTCCTCCCCACATTTTAACATTGCTGAGAGCTGCATGCATCTTCCAATCAATAGTATGTTTAATTGGCAGAGATCTTTTTTCTTTCCAAGTGGTAGATAAAATAATGGTGGTCTTAAAATAATACATGGCATCTTAAATTTGATTAAAAGTACTAAGTTCTTTGTTTTCACCCATGCTTTACTGAGGAACAGAACTGTAACATGGAAGCCACCCGGTTGCACATGCTTTGAGGAATGCTGACTCCTGCCCTCAGCGTGGCCCAGGGCAGGGCACAGGTGGGTGCCCAGGAACGTGGAATGGATGCAGGAGCAGAGGGTGGCAGGGTGTAAGGAGGACAAGAGATGGCTTAGCCAGCCTGGCCCTTGGCGGGCCCATTTCCCACCTCCCTGCCTCCCTAGACTCTTCCTGCCCTCAATCTCACACCCTCTACCCTCTCCCACCTTCTCACTGCAATGTCCCCACAAACTCCTACACCTCCATGAAGGACCAGTCCCAAGGTCATCCCCTCTGTGAAGCCCTCCCTGACTTGTTTGCTCCTCACACCCCAACTTTCCATTACTCTTGCCCATTTCCTATGATTATCCATCCACCTGAACCCCCACCAGGCCATAAGACCCTGAGAACACATGCTTCTCTTCCCTCTCACCCCAGGCTAGCATAGTACCTGGCACTTAGTAGAGTGCTTAATCCTTATTTGTTGAAAGAATGAATAACTATCCCACCTCAACCCCTTCCCTACTTCACAAACCCTGCTCAAAGCTGCCCGTAAAGAGTGAGAAACAGCCCCTGTGCTTGGCGTGCCTCCAAGTGACCCCTGGGCATTGCTTGGGCCTCTCCAACCAAGAATAATAACCACTGAGAGTAACTGTGCTAATCACTTTAGGAACATTTCTCATTTAATCTTTATGAGAACATATGAGGTTGGTACATTATTTCCTCATATTAGGGAATAGGAAACTAAGGTTCAGAGTAGTCAAGTATCTTGCTCAAGGTCACAAAACTAGTAAATGGTGGAGCCAAAATTTGGACGCAGGCTGTGGAGCCACAGGCTCACGCCGCAGTAGACCACAGGATCCCAGCGGCCCCGGTGCAGCTCGCCCCAGCCGCCCTGCATCCCAAACCTGGTGCCCAACGAGTCCGAAAGAGCACGTGACCGAGGGATGAATGATAAATGGTAAATACCTTTTGTGTCTACAAATTCTGAGTCTGTTTCAGGTTCTTTTCCTTCCTCTTTCTCATTTCCTGGAGCCAAAACTAGGGTGAGAAATAAAGAGAGATCTGTGTCCATTCACGAGCCGAGGGCAGCGGGAGAGGTAGGATTCGAACTCTGACTATACCAGCGTCCTCTTCTCTCTCGGCCGGGACCTTCGCGAGGGCTTCCACCATTGCCGCGTTGTAAATGTGTTCAGGATCCTGGAGACAAAAAGAAGTTGTTCCTGAAAGCTGAGTGACAGACCATCTCCCAGCCAGAAACCAGGTCCGCGCACGCCAGAGTCACCTTGAACTGCAGCCCTCGGAGGTTGTGGATCAGCTTTGCGTAGCGCCCCCTCTCCTCCATGAGCTCCTCGTGGGTTCCCTGCTCACAGATCTCTCCTTCCTCTAACAAAATGACTTCGTCACAAGACTCCAGGAACTGCCGAGACATAAAAGTGATCTTCCATGAACTTCTGCCTCGGTGGAGAGAGGAGAGCCCACGCCAAGCTCGGCTCAGTGGGCAGAGCGAGCCGGGGGTTCTTGACCTTGGCACTACTGACAATAGGGGCCAGATACAAATGTGCATTGTAGGGCATTTAATAGCCTCCTTGGCCTCTGCCCACTAGATGCCAGCAGCACGCCCTCCCCCAGTTGTGACAAGCAACAGTGTCCCCAGACATTGTCAAATGTCTCTGTGGGCGAAATGGCCCCCAGCTGAGAACCACTGATCTAGTACCCACAGGTCTTTGAGTACAAAAGCCAGCCTCTTGCTGTCACAGTGAGCACGTTGCATCTTCCTTTGCTATTGCTCCCTAAATGAGCTGCCCTCCTAAGAAACCTGACCGTGGAGATTTGTAAGATGAAATTGTCAGTCACTGCAGCCAAGGCATGGCAGGGAGGGGAAGTACCATCTCTGCGATGGTCTCCTCTGTCGTAGCATTTCAGCCCCGTCATCCCCATATGCTTGGGGGATGCAGAGGAGGGCGCAGCCCCAGTCCACAGGCCTCGGGAGTTTGCACCAGCTTTATCCATGTGCTGGAAATGCAGCTACATTTTATGCTGACTCCCATGATTGCCCAGAGCTGTTCTGTTTTTTTTTCATTTGAATTCCCTTCATTTCCGTATCTCTCCTGAGATCATAGATTTCTGCTAAGGGTGTTTCCTTTCATTTTGGAGTGAGACAGAGCTCTCCCCATAGGACCAACCCACCTGAGGGCAGGAAGCCCCTCCCAGAGGTGGGCAAGGCGCTGTGAGATTCAAGAAGGCAGCCTTCGCAGTGTCTGTGCTGAAGGCCCTTCAGAGCACACATTAGCCTTTGCTGCTCCGGCTTGGACGCCTGAAAGAAGTAGCCACCTTTGGTCACTGTGCGCATGGGCGTGGGGGCAGGACAGCTCACACAGCTGCCGCCTCCACTGCCCTCTGACGTGCTGCCCAGCTCCCTGCCTGCTTCCCCACACAGCCCAAGCAGGAATGGCCTTGCTTCACAGGTTCTGACAGAGCCTCTTCCCCACAAAATCATCCCTCGCCTTTGCACAGCTCTCCCAACTTTTCAAAGCCTGATCTCATCTCTTATCTCTCCATCTCCCACAACCCAGTAAAGAGAGCAAGCAGCTTGATTATCAGGTAGGGAAAGTGAGGCACCATAGGCCTGTCACAGCCTGCAGCCTTCTCTGCCTGTGCCAGGGCACACACTCCACCCCCAGAGCTCCTGGTGAAGTCCAGTGAGCCGGCAGCTCACCCCAGTGAGACCAGGCAGATCTGTGCCCCTTCATTCTGCAAACTCAGGAATCTGACCCAGGTTGGGGTCCATAGCGACTGCCAGGGTCTTTCCATATGTTTCCTGGAGTAATAGAGAGCTATCGCCCAGCCCTACCGCTCAGAAGCATCTGGAGCACCTGTGGGCCCAGGAGTAACAGCAGCAGAGAAACACGCTTGCAAAGCTCCAGGGCTCCTGTTCTGGGCTCTGAGTCCCTTCCTTCCCGACAAGGACAAGCCGGACGGAGATCCTGTGCCACCTGGCGGCTGCCCGCACTTTCCAACATGTAAAACATGAGATAAAATGATCTTGGGAAAAGGTATCCTCTGGGGAGACTGAACGAGGCCTGGGGAGAAGAACAGTTCCTGCCGACGGTCACACTGCTGGCTGGTGAGTTTCCAAGACTGGACCAAGACAGAGGCTATGATCCCCTCCAGGAGAAGTCCTAAGGGACAGCCCATGGCTGGCAGGTATGGGGTGTCGTCCTCCAGATCCCTGAGCCCTCAGGAGGACAGCCCTCCCCACCGCAGGCTGTCTCCAGGCATTGGACATTCCTGGCACAGAGCTGTGGTTACCATGGTCAGCACCCCGGCCGGGCCACAGCCCATGCCCAGTCACCTGGTCAGAGTGCAGAAGAAAGCCAGCCTCTGTCCACCCTGACTCCTGGCCAGAAGAGGAACTGGAGCTCTTGTCCACACCAGCCCAGCGTGGTGTCTCCTGGATGCTCAAGCCCCTCAGAGGAAACCCAGACAATGCCACGGGCCAAATTCAGACGCTGAATGAAGCCAGCTATGTGGCCCTGGGAAAGGGCGGCTCAGGCTAGGGGCCGCAGCATGGAGACGGGAAAGCCCAGGTTTCCTGCGTCTTTGAGGAACTCCCCTCTCCTCAGGCTGCCCCTCCTGGCCACCGCTACAGAATCTGAAAATGCTGGCTGCAGCATCCTGTAGCCATGGCAACCTCATTTGCTGCCATCCTCCACCCTCACCCCAGTTTAACTTATGCTTGCAAGACAATGAGCCTTGCCTGCTGCCCCCAGACCAGGCTCTGTTTACATGGTGCATGGTGGCAGGAGGGTGAAGAAGGCAGGAGTCCTCTGCCCTGCCCAGCAGGGCTTTCAACAGAGGCCGGCCCCAGGGGGCCTGTCCTGCGGGATGAGACACACACATGCACACAGACACGAACACGCGCACATCTCTGAGGACTCACCACAGAGAGGAGAGGGAGAGATGGTGGGAGAGATGGGAAACCTGGCTTGTCTCAGGGTGGAGGAAGATCCTGGATTCCCACCAGGCACTCAGTACCTGTTATGTGAGACTGGCCCAGCCAGGACAGCCCCCACCCTGCCACATTCTCAAGTTCACTCAGGTCTTTGGCAAGATTCATGCTCCTAAGCCTGAGAGAGTGACCCTGAGCAGAGAGAGCTTCCCCAAAGCTTAGTCTTGGCCCCAAAGTCCTGGCTTTAAGCCCCTTTCCCCTGGGGTGTGATGCCTGGGGCCACCGCCTGCTGTCATCCCCTGCCAAGGTGCCCCTGGCTTCAGGCCTGCCCGGCCCTGCTGGAGGAAGGACGGGTCTGAGCCGCTTCCCCGGCTCCCCATCTCCTCGCTGCTGGAGGCCAGAACAGGAGGAGGTGCCTGGGCCACCCCACAGGCGGGACCCAAGTGTTCCCGGAGAGTCTGCACTCTGGGAGGAAAGGTCCTGGCCCCACGCACAGGGAGGAGCAGGAGGCTCCTGGGAGCACGCTGCGCTGGGGAACTGAGTCTTGGCGTCCCTGCTCCATCCCCACCCCATCCAGGAGAGGCAGGTTTAGGCGGAAGAGGGGCTCTGAGCTCATGGGTGCCACACACCGCCCCGGCCTCGCGGACCCTGCTCGCTCCCTCACCTGCAGCTGGTGGGTCACCAGGACAATGGTCTTCCCCCGGAGCATCTTCTTAATGCACTCCTCAAAGACGAGCTTCCCCACGTGGGCGTCCACGGCCGACAGGGGGTCGTCCAGCAGGTAGAGCTCACGGTTGGCGTAGACGGCGCGGGCCAGGCTGATCCTCTGCCTCTGCCCCCCCGAGAGGTTGAGGCCCCGCTCCCCGATCTGCGGACAAGGAGAACGCCACTGCCTGTCATTGGGCCACCTTGCAGTTCTTGGAGAATGGCAGCTTCCTGAAGCTTCTCAGGATGCAGGGGAAAGGCACACAGACTGGTCGCCAACACATCCAAGCCCTCCAGCTCTGAAGGGACCTGAGCGCGCGCAACACTGTGGCGAGTGGAAGAGCGCCACTTCTCCACTTCCCTGGAAGCCTCGTGGACAGTGGCAACTTGGGAGCGCCCTTTCCGGTGCCGAGTGAGCCGTGCCTGCAGCACAACGCCGTCCAGCGCACAGCCCACAGGGAGGACTCTACAGCAAAGGGCGTAGCCGGGGCAGGAGCTCTGGGAGAACGGAGCAGGGAACTGGAGGGACAGTCACTCGGAGCAGACAGAAAGGGGTTTATTGGGGAGCAGCCGTCCCCCACTAGGCAGCTCTAGGCTCCACAGAGAGAGGACCCTTATCTGTGTGTTCGTCATCACACCCCTGGGCCCTGGGCCTGTGCTGGGCACAGAAAGGTGCTCAGTAAATACTCACTGGAAGGAGAAAAGCCTGGGTGGCTAACTCCAGGTGACTCTATCCAGCCAGCCCAAAGTGAAGCCCCTGTGCTCAGCCAGGCGTTGAGCTGGGAACTGGGGGTGGGACACATGAGGCTGGGCAGGAGAACCCCCATCCACTGGGAACCCACAGTGTAGCGGGGTGTCAGCTTTATACATAATAATGGCACAAAGCAGAGTTTAGCAAGTGCCAACTGAGAAGTATAAACCAAGTTCTTGGGGCAAAGTACCTTAGCCCATGGGACTCGGGAAAGCCCTCCTCAGGTAGGGGGGTTGGGGTGGGAACTCGAAGGGTAGTGACACTAGCAGGGCAGAGACTTGGAGGCCAGGAGGTGAGTGGCCACTTTGGTGGCAGGAGGGGTGAGCAAGAGCCCGGCCTAGAAGGGAGGGCCAGGGCTGCCAGACGGAGTGTTGGAATGCAGGCCAGGCGGTCTGTGGGGGCCGCTTCCTGCCACAGCAGGTGGAGGGCACCAGCAGAGAAGGGCAGTGTGCTCTGGACTGACCATCTGCTCCTCGGGGCTCCCGGGCAAGGGGGGAAGGCTGTGGAGGATGGGACCCAGAGAGGGCAAGGTGCCACCCTGAGCCACGTGAGCTGAAAAGCTCAGCCACGGACCGAGCCAGAGTTTGGAGAAGCACCCCAGGGCAGTGTTTGGAGGCTCCCCTATGCTCCTGGCCCAGGCAGAGCCAGAGAGATGTCAGCCATGTGCAGCACCCCTGGACCCCTGCTTTGGGGGCAGAGCCAGCCCTTGAGGTGAGGAAGCAGTTTGCACCAGAAACCTCTCCTGAGATGACGGGCAGACTGGGAGCAGCCCCGGGAAGTGACCACACCGTGCCCAACACAAGTGGGCTTGGGGCCACGGCCGTTGTGACGTCCAACAAGTGTGGGACTCAGGATGGGCAGAGTCTGAATTTTGCCCGCGCTTCCCAGGACAGCCCTGCCCCCTGGGCTCACCTCCGTCAGGTCTCCGTAAGGGAGGCTGCTCAGGTCCTTCTGGAGGCCACAGACACGGACCGTTTGCTGATACCTGTGGCAACAAAGTGCAAGTCAGCAGTGAGCAAGACCCGCAGCGCTGCTGCCTGGGCCCTGAAGGTGCTGCGGCGGCGCCGGGCAAGGCGTGGAGGCAGCGGGTCTGCGTTCAAGGCTCTCTGGCCCGTTGCTCTGTCTTCAGTGTCCCAAGGCCAGCAACCCCTTGGCCCTGGGTCCCCGCCTCTTGCTACATTAAAACTGCAGATATCAGGACAATGAGATGAAGCCCAAACTTCGTCCCCACTTCCGTCCAATGCAAGAACAGAGATTGACCTTGTGTCCCCAGGCTGTCACAGAAAACCGTGCCTGTCACCGACATTCTCAGCCTCCCTCCCCTCCTGTCACACAGGGAAGATGGCGTCAGCACACGGGAACCCCCTGCAGGGGGGCTGAGGGTGCTGGCTGTGGCCGCTGCTGCCGGGAGCCAGGGCAGGGGCACCTACGTGGGCCGAGGCCACCAAGGTGGCTCCCCGGGGACTCGGGGCTGGAGCAGACTGCAAATGGAAGAGACCAGGTGTGTGGTGGAGGCTGCAGCACGGGCCGGCGTGATCACGGATGTGGCCATGCCATCGGCACCGCACCTTCTGCTCCAGAAAGATGCTCTACCCGCCCATCACTCCCACCTGGTTGCAGAGAAGAGTTTCCTTCCCCTGGGACAATGGGGACGCTGGGGCAAAGAATGCTGCCTAAAGAGGACGAGGCCGAGTGGGGGGATCTGTCTACTGGGCCTCTCGGCCTCTGTGCTTTGCCCCCCAGGGTCACCTCTGTCAGGCCTGGAGCCGCCACAGGGCGTCTGCCAGACTAGCCCTCAGCCCGCAAAAGGCCCACGCCAGGGCTCAGCCCCACGATGCGCCAAAGGCAGGACCCCCGACTCTGGGAGACGCCCCTGGGGGACTTCTGGCACCCAGGGTCCAGGACATGAGTGGTCAGTGAGGTGCGCAGGCTCCGCGGGAGGGAGAAACCCACATTTCTCCCCCAGGTTTCCCTGCACCGGTAATGGGCAGACACCCTATCACAGACAGCACCCCACACACACAGCCCACCACACCCAGCCCACCGCACACAGCCCCCCACCGGCCGGCCGCCTGGGATCTGGCTCAGGCTGGGAAGGCCTGGCCGCTGGTCAGGTGTGCCCCATCCAAGCGCTGCCCACGACGGGGCCCTCGCCGTCCCCCCACTAGGCAAGTGAGCTGCCCCGCTGGGTGTGGCGGGCGGACTGAGTGATGGATAGCAGTAGCATTGTGGGGACCTCTCTCCTCCGCGCATGGCCCGGCAGGCGGGCAGCCCGGACCGCACAGGACGCTCCTCCCCAGTGAGGGGCAGCGGCGAGGGCGCGCGGAGGTGAGCAGCGCCCTGCAGGCGCCTGCGGCCGGAACAGAGCCGGGGCACAGCCCCCAGCACGGTGCTCATGCTCCAGGGCTGGTGAGCACTTGGGCAGGCAACTGTACCTCCCTGGTCCTCACTCTCCCTCTGCTAGACAGGGCCGACGGCGCTCACTGAGTAGTTTGGAAACGCGATCGAGAACACATGGACAGCCGTTAGCGCCACATCTAGTGCACTGCAAGCCAGTGGCGTTGCTATCACTACTGTTGCCTTTGCCGATCTTTAGCTACGTGAGTCAGACAGCCGGGCCAGTCTGGCCCTCACCAGCCCGTCTTCAATTTCCCGCCGCCCTCCTGCTCGCTGTGCCCTGAGAACCACAGCCCCACCCAGGGATCACAACCTCTGCCGGACCGAAACCCACCCTGGGGAAAGAGTCCTTATTCCATAAATGGTGCTGGGGAAACTGGATGGCCACATGTAGAAGGACCCACAGGACCCACAGGACCCACACCTTTCACCTCTCACAAACATCAATTCACGCTGGGTAACAGACTTGAACCTTAGGTGTGAAACTATTAGAATTCTAGAGGAAAACATTGGAAGTACTCTTCTAGACATTGGCCTAGGCAAACAATTTATAAAGAAGACCCCAAAGGCAATCCAGCAGCAACAAAAATAAATAAATGGGACCTGATCAAATTAAAAAGCTTCTGCACAGCTAAAGAAACTGTCATGAGAGCAAACAGACAATCCACAGAATGGGAGAGAATTTTTGCAATCTACATATCTGATAAAGGGCTGATAACTAAAATCTATTTAGAACTCAGGAAAATTAGCAAGGAAAAATCAAACAACCCTATCAAAAAGTGGGCAAAGGGCACGAACAGAAACTTTCCAAAATAAGACAGAAGAATGGCCAACAAACATATGAAAAAATGTTCAACATCTCTAATCATCAGGGAAATGCAAATCAAACCACAGTGAGATATCACTTATCTCCAGTGAGAATGGCCTTTATTAAAAAGTCTCCAAACAACAAATGCTGGCATGGATGTAGAGAGATAAGAATACTCCTACACTGCTGGTGGGACTGCAAACTAGAGCAACCTCTGTGGAAAGCAAGATGGAGATACCTTAAATAGATACAAGTAGATCTACCATTTGATCCAGCAATTCCACTACTGGGCATCTACCCAAAAGAACAAAAGACACTCTATAAAAAAGACACCTGCACTTGAATATTTATAGCAGCACAATTCACAATTGCAAAGATGTGGAAACAACCCAAGTGCCCATCAATACATGAGTGGATTAATAAAATGTGGTATATGTATATCATGGAGTTCTACTCAGCTATAAGAAACAATGGTGGCACAGCACCTCTTGTATTTTCCTGGATAGAGCTGGAGCCCATTCTACTAAGTGAAGTATCCCCAAAATGGAAAAACAAACACCAATGTACTCACCATCGAATTGGGATTAACAGATCAACACCTAAGTGGACATATAGGAATGACATTTATCGGGTGTTGGGCAGGTTGGGTGGGGGGGACGAGTATATACACACATAACGAATGCAGTGCGCGCCAACTGGGGGATGGACACGCTTGGAGCTCTGTCTCCAGGGGGGAGGGGGGGAAGGGCAAGGCATGTAACTTAAGCAGTTGTACCCCCCTAAAATGCTGAAAGAAAACAAAACAAAACAAAACACCTCTGCTAAAGATGCCACATATGAACGTTCTCGACCCGCTCTTCAAGGCCCAATTCAGGTGTCATCCTCTTGTCCCTGACCCCCACCCTCTCTGCTGGGACCCCCCACATCTCTGCTGCCTCTGAACGGTCTCTAGCCACTTGGCACGTTCCTCCTTGGTACGCTGTCAATTCTGCGAGTCTCTCACAGCCCTCCAGACTTAAGCGCCTTGGGGCAAAGATACACCTGGGCCCTCTCTCATCCGCCAGGTGGCAGGCATGCTACAGGCATTTGGTGAATGTTTGCCCTCTGAAGGTCCTGACTGATGGATTAGGGAACCCTCCTTCCCACCTGCTTCCTCAGAAAGAGAGGGTATCCCAGGGGCGCCGGGGAGGCATAGGCTGAGGCGCTGGGGCCAGGACACGCTGAGCAGAGCAGTTTGGCTGGGACGAAGGGAGACCTTCCTGCCACACCTTACCCTCCTGGTGACAGGACACCACGGCCAGGGAGGAGGAGGTGATATGGCAGCCTCTTCCCGAGAACCCACATGCTGGCCAACGCCAGCCAGCAGGGACAGCTTGTGGGTTCAGATGATGAGAAAGGCCAAACCACCATCAGAGAGTTGGCAGCCACATTCCTAAGACCTGCCCCATCTCTCTGGCTTCAGCGCTGGGAGGCTTGGGAGGTTTCTGGGTGACCCAGCCGTCAGGCAGCTCCAGCAGGAACAAATGATGCTGGAGTTCCAGACATAAGTTCACGACTTATACCATTTGCTGTTTGACATTTAATAGCATTTAATACCTCGTGTGGGTCAACTCACCTTTCTGGGCCTTAGTTTCTTTACCTGTAAAACCAGGATATATGCCAGGATCCCCTAAACAGGCGGCTGTTGGCCCTAAATGACAGAATGCACGTGGCAATGCTGCGCTCGGCAAAGAACCGCAGAAGCTGTTGCTTTCTACACTTTAAAGATAATGGCCCAAGGTGTGTCAAGTTACTATAACTTGGTTTTTGGTTCATTCGATCATTTTGAGGACACTAACAGCAATATACCCTGATAGCTCTGATGTCAACTAAGAGCATCAGGGCTGATTCATGGCATAATGGCCACTCATGATCTCAAGCAAAGTTTTGGCTGCTCATCTGAAGCAAAGCTGCCAACTTCACTTTTCTCTAGTCAGCCAGCACATGCCCTGTAACAGAACCTCAGAACACGTGCTGCTCGTCCTCGGAGTGGCGTGCCAGTGTTCTTCCCTTCTCAGGGTGCAGTCGCATGTCTGCAGGAGTCGCCTCTGCTGAACCCTTGGGTCGGGAAGAGAAAACCCAGTGGCTGTGTGGATCTGCTGAATGTTTAATCAGACATCATTAAGAAACCCACTTAGCAGCCATTACCAGTGGCACCAGCATCTGCAGCAAAGCGTGCCAAACACTAAAGGGCCCCACGCTTTACAAGTTAATATTACCTTTGGTGATCATACTTTTCTCCAAATAGTATGTTTTCTCTCACGGTCCCGTGAAAGATCCACGCCTGCTGGGAGACGTAGGCCAAGGTCCCGCTGACGGCCACGGTTCCTCTCTGCAGCCGCATCTGGACAACGACACGGGCGCCTAAGAAGCAGCCGCGCCTCGGCCTTCCTTCAGCGCCCGGCTCGTTCCGCGAGCGCTGCCTGTGGCGGCGCAAGGTGCCGGCAGGACTTCTGGCCCACCTGCCGGAAAGCCCGCCTGTGCAGACAGAGCGTCTCAACGCCCTGCAAGGAGCCAGGCGGGGAGCACTAGAGAAGAGGCAGGGGCAAGTCCTGCTGCAAACCGGAGAGCACAGGCCACGGGGCTGCTCCAGCACACGTGGCACCTTTGTGCCAACTACGAGATGCCTTCTGAGCGCACTGGTCACGAGAGGGCCCCTTCCGCCAGAGGCGCTGGCCGGATCCGGCCCTCCTCAGCCAGGCCCCGGAGCAGGCACAGCCTGCGCCACCGTGTGTGGTGGCCCTGGTGTGCCCCATCTTAAGGAAGCAGCCTCACCCCAGCTGCAGGGTGGGCACCGTGCAAGGACAATGTTAGGCGTCAGTGGTGACTTGGTGTTCAAGGCTGTCTGGAGAGGGCTGTGCGAGGCAGGCCACGGTGCCCAGGGCTGAGGCCCCGGGGCAGCAGCAGCGTGTCTGAGAGCAGGGACAGAGTGGCCAATGTGGTCAAAGGACGTGATGATGCCTTTTCACCTCAGGAATGGTCCAAGGGACAGAGACTTCAACGTGGAGAAGAGACAATGATAATAACAGTAACAGTAACGTGAACAGTGGCTGAAATGTGTAGGGCACAGTCCATGCACCGTGTTAGGTGTATAATAGATGCTTATCCCCATGACTGGCCTTGCAAATTACCTTATAACCAACTATTGCATGAATCATCTCCATTAATCCTCACCACAACTCTCCTTAGCCCCATATTGCAAATGAGGAAAACAAGGCTCTGAGAGGTTAAGTTACTTCTCCAAGGTTAAACAGTGAGCACGTGGCCGAGACAGGTGGTGGGTGAACCCCGGCCAGCCAGAGTGCCATCCTACCTGCCCAGTGACCCCAGGAGGGGCCTCATCCCACCACTGTTGCATGGGAGAGAGATTCTATTTTTCTCTGAAAAGTTCCAAAGAAGCAGACTAAAAGATAGAAGCTAAAAGGAGGCAAGTTTCACTCCAATGTGCGTCAAAACCCTCCAAAGAGGAAAGTGGCTGTGAAATAGTGAGTCCCCACCATGAGCTATCCAAGCAGAGGATGGAACATCTCTTATTTGGGGTGCTGTCGAGAGCACCACATTATTAGGCATGGAATCGAGGCAGGTCACCTCTAAGGCACCCGCAACTCCAGCCTCCTCACAGAGGCACACGGACTGAAGCCCAGAGCACGGTGACCTCAGGAGCTCACCCAAGTCAGCCCCTACCTCCACCTCCAGGCAGGAAAGGAGTTGTCACTCTTTCTATAGATGAGTCAACTGAGGCCAAAAGAAGTCACTCGTACTGGCGCTCATAAGACACATCCCCCATCCCTTCTGAGCCCTTCTGAGCCTGGTTTCTTCAGAGGCATCTTTCTTCCTGCTATAGACAGTCCAGACTCTCCAAACTTCTCTTTAGGAACAGCAGAGTGAAGAAAAAGGACTTAATATTTTTTCCCAGAAAATTTCTCATTCATTTGGGATGCAACTTAAAACCATGGCAACATAGAGGCCTGTGAATACAGTAAGTGGGGTCACCCAGCTAAAAGTAGCAGAGAAGGGACAAGAACCCAGGTTCCTCCCTCTCCCCACAGCAAGGTTTGCAGGGAAGTTGGGGCGCATGCTACTTTGGTTCTTGCACCCATTCAGCTGCCCCTGCACTGAAGCAGTGGTTGGCCGTCTGCTCTGGGCAGACGCTGGGGCAGGTGCTGGGGATATGGAGATGAACAACAAAAAGCCACATCAACAGTCACTGTGAGTCGCAGACTCACAGGGCCTCCCCACCAAGTGGCTGTGCTGGCTTCCCTGAATCAGAACAGCCCGAGTCATGGGAAAGCAGGAGTTTAAAGACCCATCTCTTTCTTTAACCCAGAAAGCAGTCACCATTCCACACCGGTGCTCGGGCCAAACCCGGGAGTGTGTGAAAAGCTCGGCCTCGCCTGGCCCAGGGGTGTGGAGCTGCCAAGCGCATCACCCTCACAAAAATGACTGTGAACTATGTGCGCCTCCAGTGGGGCCGAGACCATGCGCTGGGCATGGTTCCAAGGGCCAAACCTGGCAGGAGGGAGCCATTTCATTGTCATGTCAATGTTCCTCTTCAAGGCACTCCCCCAGCTTACCTGTCCCAGGAGAGCTGCAATGAGGGAGCTCTTTCCACTCCCCACATTCCCGCATATTCCCAAGACCTTTCCCTGCCAGAGAAATAGAGATAAGACACAGTCACTCTCCCAGTTCTTAGAGGGGGTTGGGCCAAAGGTGTCACTCCCAAACTACGCTGGCCAAGCCAAGCAGGGACCAAGGAGTCACTGCTGGCTGTAGAGGGTGGCAGCTGCTGCCTCACACACCCACCTCCGTACACACAGCCTGGTGGACACAGGAACGTGAGTCTAAACTCAGTGCTTTCCCTGGTGCAGCACTGCGGAGAGCCCAGAGGGCTTCTGGACATCTTGTATGGTCACTCACGTGACACAGCCTCGTGCTGGTCTGGGAGTTGCTGGCCCTAGACACGAGGGCTGTCCTGTGCCCAGACTCCAGGAAAGCAAACCTGAGGGGAGGGGAAAGGCTGTACAATCCAGGGGGACGAGCGTAGCCTTTGAAGAGCGGGGAGCTGAGTGCTTTTCAAAAGTCATTTTTTAATAGATTCCTTTACCATAACAACTCAATCGGAAACAACCAAGCAGTTGAAATATTCTAACACGTTGGGTTCATGGATTATTCTACCGCTATGGCTTTACTAATTCAGCCGACAAACCCTTACTCGTTACTGCCAGAGCCTGCCCTGTGCCCGCAGGAGCACGCAGACAGCAGTCTGGGCCTGCCCTCGCGAGCTTAGCTTTGAGTTGGAGGAGAGGGACGGGAGGCAGATGTAACAAAACGTGGGGCACATCGATGCTCGCCTTGGAGAAAAACCCAGCTGGGAAGAGACAGGAAGTGGGGTGACGTCTGGGGCACAAGGAAAGCCTCACTGGAGAAGTAGGTGTCGTGCCTGCGTCCTGGAACAGAGGCCCTGGCTGCCAGGAGCTTGTTTGGGAGGTGCAAGGGCCAGCAGGAGGGAAGCGGGGAAGTGACACAGGAGAGGGAAGGTGGCCCATAAGGAGTATCCTAGTAGGTCAGCTCACCCACGAGGCAGATGAAGCTCACGCCTGCAGGGAAACTGAGGACAGTCTCCGCCCAGCCAGTGGCCGAGGTTGGTGGGGTGCTGACGCCCAGCAGTCACTGCTTGAGGGCTGCTCCCAGGCTGTCACCCGGCACTGGGCGGGTGCCGTGGGGAGTCCCAGCACAGACGCACATGTGGCAGTTGGCAGACAGCCAGAGCACAGCAAAGCACATGGGCGTGGGCAGCGTCCACTGCAGACAACGTCTGAATAAAGGCTGAGTGAGGTGAGGCAGGAGCCATGGCGGCTCCTGGGGAGGGCCGCTGTGGGCAGAGGAGAGCCCGCGCAGGGACGCTGAGGCGGACACGTGGCCACGGCCGTGTTCAAGCGGGCGGCACAATACAGCAGGGCTCTTGGGACCCCTAAGAACACTCTGGTGTGGACCTGCTCCCTGCACCCCTCAGGGCAAAGAGACCCAACACGGGGCCACATCCACTCCCTCCCCACCCCACGCCACACCAGCAGGCCCATTACCTGTCCACCACGCCCAGCCCCTGCAGGCTGCCACCTGTCATCAGCGATTCCTTAGACAAGTCCTTACTGAGAGCCAGGTGTCATCCTGGGGTAGGGCAGTGGCCAGTGCAAGTGCCATCCCCGCCTTTAGGAGCCCCCACTGTCACTGAAGCTGCACATGAATGAGGCCGATTCTTTTTAATTCCACTATAAAGACTCCAAGGAATTGGGGCATCATGGAGACTTTGGGATAAAGAGATCACAGGTTTGGATCCAGCCTCACTAGGTATTTGACTCTCCTTTGAGTCCTGTATGCTTCTTGGGGCCAGTAAGAGCCTTCTAGATTCATCTTTGGCTTCAACAGAAAACCCATGAGGCCTGCATCCTCTGAGCTTCTGATTATTTGTTCACTGAGCAAACTACCAGGAACCTCTGAGCCAGGTGCTGGGCTGCGTGCTGAGGACATGACCGTGAACAGCACACTCTGAGCTCATGGACCATGCAGTCTACTGGAATCCTGGAGCTGAACTTGGAAAAACTTAGATGCCCTGAATTTAGGCCATTTGAGGGCAGCACTTAAGCTGGAAATAATAGTTAAAGAAAAAAGGTAACAACAACAGTTAACGTCGGTTGAGACTTACTATGGGCTTAGCATTTTTATGTGGTATCTCAGTTCCCACAGCCACCTTAGGCAATGGGTACCGTTATAAAGTCCACGGAGCAGGTGAAGAAACAGACACTCCAGGAGCTTAGACAATACACTCAAGGTCAGGCAGCTAGTAAGTGATTGGACGGGAGGTCCACCAGGCTCCAGAAACACACCCCTAATCCACAGGACACTGTGTTGTTCCCACTATATCTTTGACTTATTTCACAAAATGTTGGCCATGTCCTCGATGTACGACCAATGCATTACCAATGCACTGCAAAGAGCATCAGGAGTAAAGCAATTGGAGGGCAAACAGCAGCTTCCTTAGAAGGCAGAGCAGTTCACTGAGGCCTCTCTGAAACACTGGGAAGGTGGGTGCTGCACCACACAGGTATGGGACAGGGAGAAGGCCAAGAGTGGGTGGCATTTAGCAGGACTTAGCTGAGATCTCAACTCAGTTGCACTCTGCAGACCAAACAGGTTCCAATGAATATGTGGCCGATGACAACCTTGTTAGCTATAAGAGGTACCATTCTCATACCAGCGATTGAGCTTGACTTTGCATAACAAACAGGAACCGCTCCTCCTAGCGTGCTCACACAGGGAAAGAGTGAGTCCACAAGACCAGACGGGAGATCAAAATGCTAAGCACAAGATCAATGCCGAGCCCTCTGCAGAATCAACACTGCCCCCCTGGGAGCTGCTGCCCAGGCCCCAGCACTGGGAGAAAATGCGTGCAAGAGAGGCAGGAGGAGGCTGAACACTCCCGAAACCCACAGCTTCAGCTCAAAGCTCTAGCCCCAGGCTTGAGGGACAGGAGCAGCGGACGGACTCTGGCTAGCTTGGCTGGCTTTGCTCTGGCAACCTCAGCGGGGCTGCCTCTGGGTCTCACTCTGCTCCTCACGGGAGCAGCATTGCATGGCCGTTAAGAGCACAGACTCTGACGCCCTGGGTGTGAGGCCCTCCCCTGCCGCTTGCAAGCCGGGAGACCGTGGGCAGGTTGTGTGCACTTCTTCAGCCACGGGCTCCTCAGTCACAAAGAAAGGGTTGTGGCAGCGCTACTGCAACCACTGGTCAAATGAGGTAACTGTGTACCTGGTAAACAGTAAGTGCTCATAAATTTCAGTCATTATTATCTAGCATAATATTCCAATATGGAATCAAGAACAGATCTAAAAGACTTATGAAAGCTAGTTACAGCCCAGCCCCCTGAAGCGGACTGTCCACTCAAAATTGCAACTGAACCCAAGGGAGGCATTAAAACTCAATACCAGTATAACCTCCGTCCCTTCTCTGAGCTTGATGAGGATGTCTACGAGGTTCATAGACATAGTACATGTACATAGTTTTAAAATTGGGGGAAAACAGAGACCCTGGCTGGAGATCCCCGCCACCAGCCCCAGCCCTAATTGCAGTTACTGCGCCGTGAGAAGGCACGGCTATCAACACGGGGGGGGGGGGGGGGAATGCAGCACACACCCACCTTTCTAAGCACAAAGCTTATGTTGTGCAGGACTGATTTGGGGCTGCCACTTTGCTCCTCTGGGCCAGCGACTCCCTGGGCTAATGGACTCCAATCACTGTCTGCCTCTGGCCTCTGTTTCTTGAAAAAGTGTTTTTTCTGGTTCTGCACTTTCTTTAGGTCACTTTTCCTGCTGGCTTCTTGCTCCCAGGTCAAGGTGGCATTTGCTAAAAGCAAGACAGTGTCTGGCTCTTCTGGTTGGGTGATGTAAGATGGGGGGCTTTTATCTATGAGAATTTTCTAAGATTAAAGAGACAAAATTAACTGGGTAGACATCAGCCATTTGCAAGAATCATACCAATATATCTTCTAATGACCCCAAATCACAGTTTTGGCAATTCCACCTAGGATATCCAGGAAAGAGATTCTGCAGTTATTTCCCTCAGGAGAAGCTGCAGCAGATATATATAGTTTGCTGGCTCCTACTATCTGGGACAGAGGCCTCTTCAGCCACTAGGCCTATGTGGGTCACCCACTGGGAGAATCCCCGCTACATTTCACCCTCGTGCCCAATGTAGTCAGCCTTTGCCAGTCTTTGGGTGTGGACTTTGCTGTTCACACAAATGCCAAAGATCCAAAGAAACCAAGATCATGTGCTCAGTCTCTGCCGTGTCCTCGTCCTAGGTTCCCTCTGAGCTCAGTTTGACAAAACGTTTGCCAAGCCTCCACCTGTGCCAGACTGGGGCAGACAGCAGAAATGCAAACATAAACGAGGTGTCCTTCCGGTCCCTGAAGAGATCACACACAGTCTGGGGGGAGACAGGAACACGCGAGAGTTTCGCTGACACGAGGCGTGGACAAGCACCCCGACTGCCAGAGAAGGGCACTTGGCACCCCATCTCGGAGGCACATGTGGCTGGTGTCTGCGAGGAGTCTGGAAGGTGCCAACAGGCAGAGGCGAGAGAGGGCAGAGAAGGCACGTGCTGTTGAGGGCACAGCACGCGAAGGCCAGGAGCGTGCAAAGCGTGCTGCTAGGCGGGCACGGGACCAGCAGTCCAGCGCTGCTGAGGCCCAGAGTGCGAGGTAGGAAGGGGACAGGAGATGAGGTCAAGACAAAACTGAGGACCCATGGACCGAGGACTCGGGTTCGTCCTGGAGGGGACGAGGGTTTAAGAATATGGGGCAGGTAAGTATCGGCAGTCAGAGCAATGTCTTAGCAGCTCTCTGGGGGCCGAGTGTGATATTGATTTGAGGAGGACATTGGAAAAAGAAGGGTTGGTTCACAAATCACTGTGACAGTTCAGATGAGAGCTGATGGAGGTCCTGACTGAAGGTGACAGCAACAGGGACAGCCAAGTCAATAAACACCATCCTGCCTCTAGTCTAAGAAGCACCTTTAATCTTTTTTTTTTTTTTTTTGAGACAGAGTCTCGCTTTCTTGCCTAGGCTAGAGTGAGTGCCGTGGCGTCAGCCTAGCTCACAGCAACCTCAAACTCCTGGGCTCAAGCGATCCTCCTGCCTCAGCCTCCCGAGTAGATGGGACTACAGGCACGAGCCACCATGCCCGGCTGATTTTTATATTATATATATTAGTTGGCCAATTAATTTCTTTCTATTTTTGTGGTAGAGACGGGGTCTCGCTCAGGCTGGTTTTGAACTCCTGACCTTGAGCAATCCGCCCGCCTCGGCCTCCCAGAGTGCTAGGATTACAGGCGTGAGCCACCTCGCCCGGCCAGCACCTTTAATCTTTTCCTGATATCATGATATGTGCAATTAACGTGATGTTATTGATTCTTATGCTTTGTTCAAAAAGTGATAACAGTGCACTTTCCAATCCAGTCTGACAATGGTGCCTCTTAAAACTGAGGGACTCGAGTAATCAGGGGTGATTTAACAGGGCTTTGGACTGAAAGCGAGGGGAGGGTGCAGAAGCTGAGGGTGCTTCAGGTGACTTCCAGATTTCTGGCTTGGGCAAGTAAGATCCTTCAGCTCATTCGTAGATGTCTGAACATGCTGTTTCCTGACTAGAGCGCTCTTCTCTCTTGTCCTTTCCTTGCCTGAACTTTAAAAACACTTTATCTGTCCTTCTTGCATGTCACAAATATCCTTCCCATTTGTAGGAATTGCAAGGATGCCTGGCGACACCGGAACAGAGGCTCTGAGGGTAAAGATTCTCTCTTCCTCACGTGGCCTTTCCCATGTGTCTGGCAGCCACGGAGGTGCACGGCAGAGGCGCAGGGCGGAGGTGCACGGCGGAGGCGCAGGGTGGAGGTGGACGCAGAGGCGCAGGGCGGAGGTGCAGGGCGGGTCTCTAACGAGCCAATAAACGAATGAGCGAAGCAGCTAGCCGAGAGCGCGGACGCGCCTGCCGGCATCACTTCCACCGCCCTGCCTATCACAGGAAAGAGGTGGCTCGGCACAGACCAGCCCCTCTCCTGGAACAGCTCTGGATTTAAGGCTTGGATGAGGGTAGAGGGCCAGGAACATTTTCCCCATGTACCAGACTCTATCCCATTTTCGTTACAAGGGCAAACCCCCTGCGAAACTCCAAAACTGCCTGGTCCTTCCTCCACGCATGTGTCGAGCCAGCTCTGAAGGGAGGTCCTTCTCCCAGTGCCAGCCCAAAACATGACGCAGACCCAGTGGCTGGCACAGCATTCCCACATCTGAGCATCTTCCCACCCAGAAATGAGATCTCTCCTCCCTACTCACCCAGCGTCAGTTATACCTTCATTCTCCTTAGCGAGACGCTGGCTTCGGCCCCTGCCTTGACCGAGAAAGGCAAGATTGCGATTGAGAACTTCATTACATTAAACATGGCGATCACACTGAATGCCTGAGGAACAAAAGAGAGGTACGAAGTTTAGGGTGAGAGGTTGCCTTGGATCCCAACCATTACACCATTAAACTTATCGAGATGAGAAACAGTGGCACAGTTGGAATTCGCAGAGAACAAAGTTTTCATTTCATGGCTCAGAAACCGTGGGTTGGCAAATCAGGGCCAGCAGCATCTCCATCTACTCTGCTTCCGGATTTTCACCAAAATGGTGGAGAACATATTCTCCTGTTTGTGCTGATCCGGACGGGGAAGCGTTCGAGGCCTCTAAATGAGCACGTTTGGAAACTCCATCCACACACGTCCTCGGCCGAGCCGAGACCCAAGTCATCCCCTCTCGGCTCTTTGGGGGTATGTGACCCCCCGAGCTGGAGCACCCGTCTCCACAGCAGGCACCGCACGCACCCAGGGATGAAGGCGGACACTCCCCAGGAGGACCTGCAGCTCCTGCTGGCTGCAAGAAAGGGACCTGCAGCTCCTGCTCCCGGGACCCGGCCCCATGCCTCGCCACCCCTCGCACACAGGCCAGATTTGAGAGCCTTTGCGCAGCTGCGGTCCCCAAAAGTACCACGTCCCTTCACTGGGGCCGTCCTCGACCGAGCCCTGCCTGGTGCGTGGCTAATACCGCGTGGCCTCCATGAGGACGAGTCTGCGGCCTTCAGCTCGTGCCCCGCGGCGCACGGGCTCATCGCTCCGATTAGCAGCCTCTCCCTAGCCACAACTGCAGAAATCGGTAACGCAACCCCCTTCAACAAGTCCGGAGTGATCCTGCCTGCTGCGGAGTGGGACCCACGGACGGGGCCCCAGGCTTCACCTAATCCTAGTCACCTCATTGTGGGATGAAGAAGGATGGTCCTGTTGCATCTGGCCCTAAATACATTCTCAGCGGGAGCTCGGCTCTCCCAGCTCCCGGAGCGCCGCCTGGCTCAGGACGCCCAGGCCTCGGCTGGCAGAGCACCTGGGCGGCCTCGTGCGGCCGAGCACCCCGGGGCTGGCCGGTACCGCGGCCCTAGCACAACAGGTTCTGCAAGGAATTCTGAATCCAGAGAAATCAGAACTTTGCATTCAGGAAATTTGGTCTTGGTGTAGATTTCTTCTAAACCATTGTGTTAGAAAATATCAACTACATGTGTTCAGTCTTGTTTCCAATTGATTTGCTTGATGTGTTGCTGGATAAAAAAATATTTTTGTTGTTTGGGATCATGGAAAGTTGTCATGATAATCAGGCAGCATTCTTTTCGGGCTCCGGTTCGTCACTGTCATTCATTCACCCTGGCTCTGGGTTCACAGCTAGGCTCGAGGCCCTGGAGCATGTGAGAGCAATATGTACATGGGCTATTACCTGCTGAAAAACCAGAGAAAATAAAAGCAGCTCACCTAGAAACGCAGGGCGGGAATGGGGTTTCACAGCCCACAAGAGGCCTGGGAAGGGCACCCTGGCTTCACAGCCTCACGCCACCCTCCCCTTGGGATTCCAACTTGGGCTGCGATTCTTCCTCGTGAGCTTCCCTGTGTTCCTCTTCTCCCTTTGTTTTTTCCTTGCCTTCTGTGCTCTTCCTCCGGCTACTTGCCCTTGGTTTCACACCTGAGCTGGTTCTCCTTTATCTAAGCCAGGGGCCGTTTTCTCTCTGGCACAGCGTTTCTTCCCCTGCAAACCTCAGGCCCCTTGTTTACAGCTGATCATCTGGCCTTCATCCCCGTCCCTAGCTGAGGCCTTCAGCCCCCATCGGCCTGGCTCAGGCGCGACTCTGGCTGCTAACAACAGCTGACGCGGCACCTAAGGGCCAGGACAGCTGCATGTGCTGTACATAAGATAACTCATTCGGCCTCACAACTGTGCTGCCAGGGACGACAATCACCCCGTTTACAGGTGACAGAACCAAGGCAAGAGGGGCTCCATGATCTGCCATAAGTCACAGCCAGGAAGTAGTGGGGTCAGGAGTCAAAAAAGCAGCCCTGGCTCCTAAGCCCAGACTCCGACACCAACACCACTCCGCTCCCCACAACTGCAGATCCTCCTGCCAGGAGAACTTTCTCAAACGCTCCTTCTTGTAGAATACATGAATAAAACAGCCACGTGCTCATTTGGTTTCCATTTTTCCCCCCAAATGTGAACTTGGGTTCCAACGTTACCTACCACCCCTGCCCGCTATGGACCAGGTGAGAGTCGCTATTAGGCTCTACTGGGCCTCTTGTCGCCCCACACACCTGTTTTTAAAAGTTGGGCTTGAATTCCTGCGTCGTTGGCCCCTTGCAGCTGGGTGTTCTGGTGAAGGTGTCATGCAAAGGTAGGAAGGGGCTTCCCACTGGGGACTTGCCAGGGTCAGGTGCGAAAGAGGCCAGACCCGGGCGGTTCTTACCACAGGGGCGGTGAGCTTGCGTCTCAGGAGGATGTGGCAGGTGAACGTGAGCACAATGGCTATGGTGGACGCAATGGGGGCCAGGGCTGAGTTTCCACTTTGGACAAATCCAGCTTTTTCCAGCAATTTTCTTTCCCTCCTTCTTATATCTGCAAAATAGAAAACAGTCCAAGCTGGTCTGATTTTGCTGGTTAAGAACCAGCATTAAGAGATGCATTCGCCCGCCCGATGCTCCTCCAGATGAGCGCAGGCCCCTGCTGAGAGGCCAGACGAGAGCAGCGCAGACAGCCACGCCCGCCCGCCCAGCACGCGCCAGGGGCTCAGTGGCCGGCCGCTGCCTGTCCTGGGTGGGTGGGCTCCAAGGCCCCTCCCAGCCCTGATTCTCTGCATGGGGGCCCTGTAGGGCCCAAGCAAGCACTGCCAATGCAGGGGCAGCGTGCTAGACCAGAGGGTGCTATGGAGCACAGCGAATGGGGAGCACGTGCCTCGGCGAGGGGCTCCGCTCCTCAGTGCACGGGAGCCTGGCGCTACCAGACTGTCAACCATTCTAAAGAGAGGTCCGCATTTTTGCAAGGCATCTCTCTACTTTTAAATGTCACAAACTCATTGAAAAAACTTTTAAAATGCTGTGCTGTAGGGGACAAACAAAACACATATGGTGGCCTGAAGACTGCCAGACTAGGAGCACCTGCCTGGTGTCTCAAGAACAACCACAGAAACTCGAGAGCATTTCTGCCTTTCCTAAGTCCAGAAGATGCCCATGACCCTGTGCTGCTCACGGTTAAATTCAAGCCTCCTTCCCCTGGTGTTTGCAGTCTTCAGTCCCAATTGCGGCCTCGTCTGCAAAACCCTTTCCTGTCTGCAAGAGGACAGCCACAGCTGCTCCTGCCGAGTGCACCATTAGAACGCTCCCGCAGCTGTGCTGAGAGGAGGCCACTATCACACCCTTTGTGCAGGAGAGAGAACGGGCTTGGCAGGTTTAGTAACTTGCCTTTTATGTGATCCAAGCAGGACTAGCCCACTTCTGCTGGGACCCAAGGCCTGCTCTCCACACGCCTTCGCCTACAGAACACCCAGCAACCCCACCCCGTGCCGCTCCAGCTCCCTCCAGCCCTTTGCTCCTCCCTCAGGGGCGCCCCAACTCTGTGTCCAGACCCTTCCTGCTCTTTCGTCCCACCTGAAATCCACCTCCCCAGGAAGTCTGGCCTGAGCCCTCTGACCCAGTGTGCACCCCTGAGGGCTTCTCTCAGTTCCTCTTGTGGCACTGTCCCCATTTCACCCTGTAGAGTGACTAAGTCATGTGTCCACTCGCTCAGCGACTTGTAACCTGGTATCTGCCAAGTGCTGTGCTTGGTGCGCAGGGAGCAAACGAGTGAACAGGCCTCAGCCCACTTCCAGTGGGGGAAGCAGACAAGAAAGACAATCAAATAATTACAAATTGTGTTGGGTGATAGGAAAGTAATGAACAAGTGGAGTGACTGAGAGGTAGGGTGTGGGTGTGCTTGGCTGCAGTCCAAAAGTCCTCTTTGGATGTTGAGAAAAGACCTAAAGCCAACACAACGTTGCCATAAAATTGCGGCAGGAGAGTATTTCCAGGGAAATGAAACAGCAAATGCAAAGATCCCGAGGCACGAATGCAAGTGACACGTTGTTCTAGAAACAGATGGCAGGTTCACACTGCTTGAGCAGCATAATCGAAGGTTAGGATAAAATGTGATGAGGTCAGAGAGGTCACCAGGGGCCGGATCACGTTGAACCTAATAGGCCAGGTGAAGGAATTTGAATTTCATTCAAAAGACCTAAGTCTGAACAATTTAAGTCCAATAAAAAGTCACTGATGATTTTCTGGCAGGGGAGAAACAGGCTCAGACTGAGCTTCTCAAAGGTCGCCGTGGCTGCAGAGTGCGTAATGGGCTGCAGGAGGGGAGCAGGGAGAGCGCCTAGGTGCCCTTGCCACAGCCAGGAGGGAGCGGGTGCTGGCCCGGACTGGGCGGCGTGGGACGGAGAAGCAGACGGTCCCGGATATATTCTGCAGGTGGAGCCAGCAAACTGCGGCCATTCTGAGTTTAGTTATCCCATCCCCCTTAATCTTAAAAGCAGGAACCGTTTTCCTGGTCCTTTGTGTGGCTCCTGTGGCCTTGCTCCTAGTTGGGACTTGGCATACCTTCATTGAATTAAGCTGACAAGTTAAACTGAGTTGGTTCAATGGAACCAAGCCAAACGGAATCAAATTTGATCAGATCAAATTAAATGGCATTGACGTGAGTTCAGAGTGTGAGGAGGTGTTTCTGGGTCTTCAAAGAGGGTCCCCTAGGGCTGCTGGGGTCCCAGCCTGGGGCACTGCCTTTGGCACACTCAGAAGCGGGTTTTCTAAAGCCACTCCCTAAAATGTGGGTGCACAGCTTCAGCCCTGATTACAGGCCGGTTCAGAAGTGTGACTGTAGATCTAGAGACGACTGTAACAGTGGTTCTGGTCATTAGCCAGGGAACCACCTGAGTCTATGTCAGCAATTATGTAAATGTCCCTGCAATTAGAATTGCATTTATATTTGATTGAAATAGTTTCCATATCATCTTTACAAAAAAAAAAACTGCAAATGCATCCTCATATCTTCCCAAGGAATGTTGAGTCAGTGGGCACCCAAACACAGTGAGGGTGTGTGTGTGTGTGTGTGTGTGTGTGTGTATGTGTGTGTGTAGATATCTTCTAAGTCAAGGAAATAGCCTAAGACAGCCTCTTTCCCTGCTCGCAAAGTTTTAGTAGATTACTTTTGTAAAGGTACCTGGTCAGTACCAGGACCCACGTGGGAAACCATGTGTCAGTCACCCTCAGGTTCACCAGAACAGATGCCTGGGTCTATTAAAAAAATCTCCAAATCCTTTGAAAATCCTTTGACCTGCAGAGCAGCCCATGGGGGTCCCCTCAGCCTCCTTCTAGAATGCCTGGCCCCGGGAGCCTTAAGAACCTCTTAGACGAGCACATCCTACACAGAAGTGGTTCTTCCAGCAGCTGCTCACATCCTACCTCGAATGGTGCTAGTAAAAGATTTCTCCCAGGCGTACATTTTAATCAGCTTGATGCAGGTCAGAAGCTCATTCATTGTCTGAATTCGCTTGTCTGTCACCGAAATTGCTGATCTTCGGAAAGCTGAATTGAGCTTAGCCATAAACATCTGAAATCAAGGTACAAACACTGTTCAGAGAGAACTGCTGAGTTGCAGTTGGCCTAAACATCCCAGGATCAGTCTGTGTGCCAGGAAACGTTCTAAGAAAAGCTCTCAGCCCTTTCCTTGAGTGTTGGCAGCTGACACAGCCAGTCGGCGACACCACTGGGGTCGGGCAGGCGACAGGAGCGCAGGGGTTGCCACAGCGCGACGGGAGTGCTGGCGACTCTGGCAATCCGCAGCAGCATGGCCCTCCCCCAGGGCAGTCAAGTTCTTCGAAAACTGCTCTGTGCCAGCAAAAGCTGGCACCCTGCGAGCTCAGAGCAGTGCAGGCTGCGGCCAGGTGGGCAGGGACGCCTTCTATCCAGTTCAGTGAAAGTGCGTGCGAGAGATGCAGACGCAAGCAGTCACCCCCGCCAAGGCCTGCCCTTACCTGGATGGGGATGAAGATGACATACACAGATATCCCGATGAGAGCTGTGGGCCCCAGAATGAAAAAGGCATACACCGCACAGACGACCATTAGGATAGGGATGGTGGCAGGCAAGGGGCAAAACAGGGCAGCTTCAAACAAGGAATAGCTATCACTCGAGAGTATATTGAGCGCCTGCAAAGGAAGCACACGGGGTCAGGCTCTGCAAGTCACTGGAGCATGCCGGCGTCTGGAGGCTCTCAGGTGGTGGAGGCGTGTAAAGAGGGAAGAGAAGATCTGCCTTAAAGGGGGAGGGGCCGCCAGGGTGCTGCTATGGCCAGTTTTATGGGTCTCACTCTGGGGTGACTATGAGCGGCCAGTCTTTTAGGCCTGAGAATCCCAGTGAAGAAAGACCTAACGGTCATGTCACTGTCCAGGGCACTGTCCCTCCTTCTCATGAACATGACTTTGCCTTATTCAGGGCAGTGAGGGGCCAGCTAGAAGACTACATTTCCCAGCCCTGTGTGTGGAGTGTGGCCATGCAACCATGTTAAGCCAAAGTGCTCAGTGGACTTTGGGGATGAAGGGGGCTGGCTCAACCTGGAAGGCACTCCACTTTTGTTCTCTCCTGCCGCCTACCAGCCGTCTGAGACACTGTTGGGATGGCTGGAGCTCTGGCATCCTCCTTGAACTATTATGGGAGCCATGTGCTAAGACAGTGAGGAGGAGAGATGGAAGGCTCTAGAAGCCCCTGTACTAGCCCTGGACTGCCTGCTGGAATCCCGGCTCCTTTCACATAGGGTGAAATAAATTCATCTTGTTTGATCCACTTTATTTTGGGCTCTCAGTTATATGCAGCTGGGTGTGATCATCACTGACACAGGACGCACTGAAAGAGCGAGCGAGAGAAAGAAGCCTGCCCTTCACCTCGCTCACTCACTGGGGGCCCTGGATCAGGGAATATCTTCTGGCTAACTGGTGAGGATTTTATTGCTAAAGATTAAGGGCTTAGGGAGAGGTCAGCTCTGACGTCCAGCAGGCATGGTCCCTATTGCGGCTTTGGTGCCCCAAATACGACGCAGTTAGAATTACTGGACCCATCGGTCAATCAATTTTATTACATGTCTATAGTGCGTTCTCTACTGCTTTGGTGACCTCAAAGTCACCCGTGCCCGCTCCAGCTGGAACTGAACTCCCCCGTGTTCTGAGTGGCCGACACCTCCCGCAGTAGGCACGTCGCATGATGGGCAGGACACAGACGAGCAAAGGGAGGCCGACGCTCCATCCAAGCAGCGCGTCTCACATGCATCCAAAACACTCAGGACTAGTCTCTTCCAGTCCGAGCCTTTTCCAGCCCAGCTTACCTCGCCAACAGAGAGGTGTGTCAAGGTCTTGAAGGACACCAGGCTTTCAAACACCAGGGTGGAGAGGGCCACCTTCAGCCGGATCGCCGTGCGGTAGTTGATGGCCCAGGCAAGCGCCCAGAAGAAGACTTTGGCAAACTCGGTGGCAAACAGGGCCGTGCACAGGCCGACGCCCACCCAGACGCTGCCGGCGCTGCCCTCCGCCTGCTGCAGGATCTGGTGGATCAGAACCGTCTGCAAAACAGTGCGGGGCGCCGGGGGCGGGGGCACGGGAGGCCTCAGATAAGGGCAGCAAGCTGACTTTATGAGGCAAACTTTTTAATTAATTGTGGTGGCTGCTGCTGTGCGTGACAAGGACTAGCTGTGTGAAAACTCGCCCCCAAGGAGCACAAAGATAATGACAATGCACTGAACTCACCAGCTCGTAGAGCAAGTTACTAATGGCATTCTTTGCCAGGCTGGGGACCAGGAGACAAGGCAGAGGAAGGCCCCCGACTCACCGGCCCTATGGCTGCCATGACGATGCACAGGATGTTGGCCACAAAATCTACCAAAACACGTGTCCTCTGGAATTTCCAGACCACTCGGACCAGAGAGGCCTTGTCAGGACCCACCCTTCCTACCTCTTCATCCCACAGGACTCGGAATCTGTAATGGAAGGACAGGAAGAGAACAAGGGATTGATACTTGCACTTGCTGTTTGATGTGACCCTGGTGGGCAGACCCTTGCAAGGTGCTCAGCACAGCCCTGCTCCCTGGCAGCGGTCCCCCGACAAACACCCCCGCTTCTCCTTTCTTCTTTTCCTGGGCAGCTGGGATCCAGGAGGGTGGGGCAATGCCTAGGCACGAGCCGGCATGACCATGCGGTATTTGGCCACCTGCCAGGCCTTCCTTTCCTCTGTCTGCCCATCTCTGCCACACTCGCAGCTCTGATAAGAAGTCAGGGGCAAGAGAGAAGCTCAGAGAAAAGTCTTCCCCAGGGCAGAGAGGACTCTGTGCACTGCAAAGATCTGAAAGAGGCCAGAGTGACAGGAGTGGGGCGCCAAGGACAGGGGCTGACACAGGGAGCAAGGCAGGCCCCAAGCCCAGGGGACCTCAGGGCCTCGTAAGGAGGTTGGGTTTCATTCCAAGCACAAAGGAAACCACCACAGGTTTTTAAGCGGATGTGACAAGATCATTTTGCATAGCTCTCCATCAGTCGGCCCTGCTGTGAGGGTGATGGGTTGTGGGGAGAGCTGTGGCGTGGAGGGGGCAGTGGGTGGGTGGGGAGTGGCAGCCACGGAAGGAGAGGGGCGAAGGGTGGACCCGGGTCCTGGCCTGACCGCCTGTGCGGACGGAGTTTACGGAGACGGGAAAGAGGAGGAGAACTGTGTCGGGCTGGGGCTGAGGAGCAAGAACAGGCATAGCTTCAGGTATGACATGCTCGTGAGGCGTCCAGGTGTGGCTGTGCAGCCGGAGGGGCACGCGGATTCGGGCCTGGAAGGGAGGCCCGGGCTGCAGACAGACATGCCCCGGAGGCGCCAGCCCGTGCTTGCGCCTGCGCGTTCAGAGGCGGGGAGATCACCAGCACGAGCACAGCGGGGAGAGAAGAGGTCTGAGCCACGCTGGGCAGGTGGCAGGAAACACACAGTCAGGCGGGGAAGCTCCAGCCAGAGGGTGGAGGGAAAGCCTGGGCGGGGCTCCCGGCGCACTGCAGGTTTCTCCAGCGCTCCCTGGCAACTGTCTCCAGAGTGCAGATTTTGGAAATTACCACGGGCTGAGGTCTCTTCAGGGCACAGATGAGGGGAAGTACAACTCTAGAAGCGATTACAAGGCATGACTAACACCCCCAGGACACCCCCACTGCTCACAACATGATAGGTCATCAGAGCCACAGAGTTCAACACAGCTGTCGGGAAGAATGAAGCGGACGTCTTTATAAACCCTTAACTGAAAACAGCAAAGTGATCAACAATTATACAGTATGCTTCATTTTCTGTTTAAATTTTTGAAAACATGACCTGAGTCAGGAGGAAGAAGAGTATCGATCTGTAGAAGATGGTAGCCCAGGGCATGTTTAATCAGAGTAGGAAAATTCCAGACAGAGCCACGCTGACATTTTAGCAGAGCTTACCTCTGGGGAGTGGACAAGTGCGGGAGAGAGAGCTCCACTGCTTGCACTTCTCTTGCTTTAACATTTTTATAATGAATATGAATTAGGTTGGACCAATGACATTTACGTTTTTACAAGTCAAAATTGTCAAATATTGGCAGTTTCATTTGAATCGACCAAAATATATTTTGTGATATAAAAGTCCAATAACAGTTTCTAAAGTACCCCAGGCGGGTTCTGGTCAGCACAGAGCAAGCCTCTGTCCTAATGGAGCGCTCCTACACGCAGGCCAACAGCCTGGACGGATGACCCCAAGCCGAGGGCTGTCACTGGCCCACCAGTCCCCTCGGCCCCCTACTCTGCCCAGCCCTCCCCTTCCCTCCCCTCCCCAGAGACTGGGTTGAGAAGTCCAGGCAGTCCAGCCTAAGCCTCAGAGAGCAGCCACTGAGAAGGGTCACCAGCACCCATGGGTGTCAATTACCACCTTGGGGAAATTGGGGAGCATACAAACAGGCTTAGGGGCACCCTCCCGAGGGTGGTTCCAATCCAGAGGTGACCCAGGCAAATCTGGTACCTTTTGGCGTTGGTGTCAGATGAGTCATATGGTGACAGTGGGGGCAGGGTGTCCACAGTCAGCGTGTGCTTGTAGCCTTTAACCATCACCGGCGTGAGCCAGGAAAACGTGGCAAAGGAGAGCAGCCCCGCGTCGTCTACCGCGTTGGGCGCCAACCTACAGACAACGGGTGCTTGGTGTGCCAGGGCGCTGGGGTCATCGCCCTGACTCTCCCTGGCCTGGATTTTTAACCACAGGAATACCCACAGCAACATGCAGACCCAACACTCCCAGAACCCAGAACCCGACACTCCCAGAACCCAGAACCTGACACTCCCAGAACCCAGAACCCGACACTCCCAGAACCCGACACTCCCAGAACCCGACACTCCCAGAACCCAGAACCCGACACTCCCAGAACCCGACACTCCCAGAACCCGACACTCCCAGAACCCGACACTCCCAGAACCCAGAACCCGACACTCCCAGAACCCGACACTCCCAGAACCCGACAGTGGCATCCGTGAGTGCTTTGAGCAAAGATATGCTGGGCCCAGCCAGCGAGAGCTGATTGTTAGATTTTCAGTAATTTTGCAAGTCAGTTGTTAAACATAGCCAATATTCAAAATCAAGTTACATACATTTAAAGAAATTACCTTACAGGCAAAGGTAATAACACTCAAAACTCATCACTGCTAATTATTCTATGGGACGAGTGCCCTTGAGGCTAGCACACCCACATGTCCCCTGCGCGAGGGAGACAGGGCGAGGCACTGCGGCTGCACACCTCTTCCCAGCCTTCCTCCAGGGACGTCGCGTTGCTGCTTGGAATTGGCCGGGAGGGAATTGGGTGAGTGCCACAAACCCAGGGCGTCCTCCCGTGAGCCGGTGGTCGGACAGGCGCCAGTGCTTGAGCCACCCATGGGAAGAGGGCGCCGCTCCACTGGGTGAGCGGGGAAATGCAGGCCTGCCGGGTGAGCGCCAGAGGGACCAGGCACAGCCTTGCCCAGGGGGCGAGCGCTGGGCACAGTCACCGTCACCGTGAGGGCTGGTGGGCAGTGCGTGAAGAGCCGCATGGGCATCAGCCGTCAGGCAGCGGGAAAGATAAGGGGGCGGAAGGGAGGGGAAAGGAGAGAGGGAAGAGGAAGAGGATGGGAGCAGGACAAAGAGGAGGAGGAGGAAGAGGAAGAGCAAGAGAAATAAACCATCTAAAACAGAATAAAAGAGACAGAGTCTGATCTACCAACCTCCGCGAGCCCGTGTGTCCGGGCCCTGCAGGGCTCCGTGTGCAGCGGTGGCACCCCGACCTCGGCGGGCTCTCGCGCTGTGCCCGCCCGTGTGTCTCCGTCCCTCTTCCTCTCTTTCAGAGCCTTTCCAGGAGCATGAGTGCGGGGGTACTGCCCCAGGGCAAACCCTAGCTCCTGGGGTGCGGGAGCCCACGGTAAGGCCCCACCTCACATCGTCCGGGGGGAAACTGCACACTTCCTAGGAGGAGGACGGGTCTGCCCACGGCAGCGGCACCGCGGCCACAGCTCACGCGGCCTCTCCCTCCTTCCCTGCTCCCTCTGAATCTTCCCTCCTGCTTCTGGGGGTCACCTCCCAAATGAGCTACTGCTCCCAGAGTCTAGGCTGAGGCTCTGCGTTTGGGAGAACCCATGCTAAGATCACACTAATGAGGTACCATGTGCCTGGTGCATCGTCAAAGTTTCCTAAAAGGCGGCTTCCATGACAAAGTCATGCACTACCTCATCTAGTCCTCACAACAACCCTGTGAGCTGGGCGGTAGGGTAATGTTATAATCCCACTGCATAGACAGAAACATTGAGGCTCAGCGAGGTGAGGGTACTTTCACACATCTGCTGCAAATATAAAGACAGCTCACACTGGTAAGGGGCAGAACAAGAACGCAAACTCACTGCTGGCAGCCTCCAGGGCCCCATCATTCTCTTAAGCACACCCCGGATTGCCTCTCCAAAAGCAATTGTGAACTGAGCCAAGACCATGGCAGTTAGAGGTCTCCTGTGCCTACGGACAGGAGCCCATGCCTCCTCACCCTGCAGCCTCACCTCTGCTGTGGAGGGCTCACATGCCTATCTGTGGTCCAGAGGTGCTGGGAAAGGGTAGTGCAGTGTCACCTTACTTAAGAGATGTCACTTGGGCCTTCTATTGCTCAGAAAACAAGAAACAGGGCCCTTTCTATGCAGAAGAGGCAGGATTTTATAATGGTATGGCTAACATAACGTTGATAACATACATAACATTACAATATAACGCCACGTGGAGCATGTGAGTTTGGAAATCATGCTGCCTGAGTTCCTGTCCTGGAGTTCAAAAATGGCCCCACTCTCAACCCCATCTGTATCCAGCCCCTTGGAACGTGATCTTGCAGCTCGTGCCATCAAGAGGTGGAGTCTGTTTCCCCACACCTAAATCTGAGCTGACTTGTGACCCGTGCTGGCCGATGGAATGCAGTGAAAGAAGCGTGCAGTGGGGAGACCTCTGAAAGCCTAGGCCCCCGACCACGCGAGCAAGCCTGAGAGCTGCTGGAGTGAGCACCCTGCACCCCAGTCACCCACTGCACAGCCAGCAGCCGGCCAAGCCCAAAAGCACAGCCGCCTTGCTGACCTCAGGTTCCTGAGCAAGCGGGTCGAGACTGAATGAACCAGCCGGCGGCCCTCAGCCCAAGTTGCTTTAATTTATGGGTCACCCATAAAATTGTAAGCTAAACAAGTGGCAATTGTTTTAAGCTGCAAAGTGTTGAGGCAATTTGTTACAAAGCAAAGGCTACCTGGTGAACCTTAGGCCGCTTACTTAACATCTCTATGCCTCAGTTTCCTCACCTATCAGATAAAGATAACAACAGAAACTCCAGGGTGGTTGTGAAGAGTAAATGGGAAGGCCAGGCTCGGTGGCTCACGCCTGTAATCCTAACACTCTGGGAGGCCGGGGCAGGCGGATCATTTGAGCTCAGGAGTTCGAGACCAGCCTGAGCAAGACTGAGACCCCGTCTCTACTAAAAATAGAAAGTAATTAATTGAACAACTAAAAATATATAGAAAAAAAAATTAGCCAGGCATGGAGGCACATGCCTGTAGTCCCAGCTACTCAGGAGGCTGAGGCAGGAGGATCACTTGAGCCCAGGAGTTTGAGGTTGCTGTGAGCTAGGCTGACACCACGGCACTCTGGCCGGGGTAACGGAGTGAGACTGTCTCAAAAAAAATGGGAGTAAATGGGAAGACGTTTGTAAAGCACACGGACAAGTCCTGGCACGTGGAAAGCTCTCCTTAAACAGGAGTCACTGCCTCCCTCTCTCCGAAAGACAGGAGGAGGCAGGAAGTGAGCTGTTGGCGAAGCGGGCGGTGGACAGAGCAGAGGAGGCGCGCAGGGGAGGGGTTGGGGCCCACTCTCTCGGTGGGCTGGAACTTCCCAGAGGTTGTTCCCTGGCTCTCCCTTCAGTCCTCCTGACCTACCTTGCACAGGGTCGCACTGGGATCATGGTCTTCAGGCTGGGGTCATATCTCTCCACAAAGGTTCTCCGCTGGCCTCGCTGGTCCAGATCCGAGATAAGGTAGGCGCCTTCACCCACCATCCTGGTGGCAGTCCAGAGCCCCGGGCTCTTGGCCTAGAGACACTTTGAGTCTACAGCGGAGAGATGGGGAAGGCGTCCTCAGAGATGAAGACATCTGGAATGGGATCAGGCTGCCCGTTTCCACCCAGACCGGTTCCCTGCTTTGACCCCTCTGAACTGGCTTCACCAATTGGCCTGCTACATTCATGGGGGAGCCTATGCCCTCACTCCACTCTGAGGCTTCCTTACTAATAAGGACATTTAGCTCTTGCTTCCTCTTCCTTTGCCATGCTGGGCTGGCGAGACCAGAAAAACCTGTGGTGAGTTTTCCGTTGGGAGCCAGCTTGGTGGCCAAGGCTGAGTCCCGAGCCAGCAAAAGAGCCCCAGGAAAATGGCTTTGCTGTCCCAGAGTGACCCAGAGTGAGGCTGCCGCACTCGCACCCCTTCCTCTTTCAGATCCTGGCAGGCGCCCAGGAGGGTGCACATCCGCCCCCGTCCACCCCGGCATCCAGCAGCCCGAGAGAGCTTCACAAAGCCCCCCTCAGGACCAGCCACATCTGGACAGGCCTCACAGCTCTGCGACCACTGCCCCAGCGACAGCCGGCAACCCAGGTGGAGCAGACGCTGTTCGGCATGTCTGTCCAGCCCACACGGCGACTCCTAATGGCTAATAAAGCTATGGCGTGGCAGGGCTGAAAGTGTCCCCATACCCAATCTTTCACAAATGCCTCATTATAAAGAAGAGGAAGCAGAGGCCCAGAGGCAGAAAGGACTTACTCAAGAGTGGAGAGAGAATGGGTGCGACGCCCTCATCTGGGGACGTCTAGGCACAGGGAAACGGTTGGTCCCTCCTTTCTCCAATAACCCTGCAAAATCCCTTGCTGATATTACATTACAAGAGGTACTCCTCTGGAATAATACAGTTTGGTTTTTTTTATAACAACATTTGAAAATCAAAGTGTCTTCACCTCAAAAAGATAAATCTCCCAAAGTGAAAACAGAAGCACTATTGTCAGCTGGAGGAGGCACATGTTTTACAGGCAGTAGTTCTGCTCAAAATTTCTTCATTCAATTAATGTATATTAATAATGCGAATCCCACAGACGCAGCTCCAGATTCCTAATTCAGTGAGAAGTTAAAAAACAGGGATTCCTACATTTCTGGCCAGCCTGCACCCCTCTATACTTCACACTCCATTTGCACCATCTAACTACACTCTGGTCGTACTGAAAGTCTGACCGCTCACTGAACAAACTGCCAGTTCCTCCTGCCTTGGGGTCTTTGCACTCACCACTGTCACAACCTGGGACAGTCTAAAATCCCTTTTGCCACTTGACCAATTCCTGCTCAGCCTTCAAGGCTCAGTCCAGACATTTCCTTTTCTGGGAACACTTCCCTACTTACTTTTCTATTTCCCCAGACTGTGGGCTTGATACCTGTTTTGTTCACAGCTATATTTCCAATACCTAACACAATCCCTGGTACATTATAGGTGTTCAATACATATTTGTTGAATGAAAGAATAATGATGAGTATGAGAGAAGTCTAAGACAAAAGTCCTCTCCCCATAAGGGGAGAAATAACACACATTAAAAAGTAAATTATAATATAGGGTTAGCTCTAGGAAAAATAAAACACTGAAAAAAAGAGTTAAAGCTAAGAAGTCAATCAAGGAAATAAAATGAAACACTAAATAGATTAACCAAAATGTAGGCAAGTAGGAAGAGAGGGATAAATAGAAGACAGATACCAAGCCAATAAATTGAAACCCAACCATATCAATAATTACATTAAATATAAATGGTCTAAACATTTCAATTAAACAAACAAAGACTATCAGACTGAATATAAAAACAAGATCAGATGATATAAAGACACACATACCTTGAAAGTAGAAGGGTGGAAAAGGAATGCCATGTTTATAGTAAAAAGTAAATATAGTAAAAATAAATTTACTTTTATAGTAAAAAGTAAAAAAAAAAAAGAGAGATGTGTATATGATCTTAGGATAGGGAAGAATTTCTTAAAGCAAATTCAAAAAATAAGTCCAAGGTAAAAGCTTAACATATTTTACAACATTGAAATTATAACTATTAATCAGAAGACATAATTTTTAAGAGAAGCAACATGCTACTATAAATGTGAGGCATTTAACTGCAAAGAATTAGTATGCAGAATTTATAAGGAATTCTCAATACATCAATAATGGAAGGACAAATAATTGTAAAAGTGAGCAAAAGGCAATTGACAGATGACTCAAGTTAAAAGAGCTTAATCTCTAAGTACCAGAGAAGTATGAATTAAAACCACAGTCACAATCATAGCCCTTTCTCATTCTTCACGTATGTGTTATTAAAAAGCCTAAAAATGTTAAGTCTTGGCATATGTGTGGAGCACAGAAGCTTTTAAACCCTGCTGATGGGAATATAAATTGAGCAACTAATTTTTAAAGCAATTTGGCATTACCTAGACAAGTTAAAAATCATCTTACTAACACAGGCAGCAATTATCCTCTTAATTATCTACGTGCCCTAGAGACATTCTGCATGTTCGAGCAGTCACATACAGAGTGGACACAAAGCTCGAGGCTCCCTTCCACTCTCCTCCCAGGCTCCCCCGCCGTGCTAGCCTCCCTCACCTCGTGCTCACCCACGTCGACGCTGAAGTTCAATCTACAAAACACAGGGAACAGTCCACAGAGGGGGGAACCTCATTTAAAATATCTTTGAACCACTTTGGTACGAGCGTCAGCTGTAGCCAGCAGCCACAGATGAAGGCGCACGGCCGAGCGTCGACTGCAGCCGACAGCCGTGATAGGACTTTTCTAATTTTTCTTTTATCAAAATAAAATTGTGAACATTTAAAAATAATGTAATGAAAACATGTGTATATGTTACCTATTCTGATTTCCATGACAAGGAAAGCTGCCCGTGTAGTGAAGCCGCCGTCAGTGCTGCCAAGCGCTCCTCGCCCGCAGGAGCGAGCCGGCCCGTCCCGCAGCGCAGACCCGGCCCGCGTGCGGCTGTGGGCAGGGCCGGCCGGGAGCGCCCAAGTGGTTAAAATATCCAGGAATATTTGTAGCAGCTTCTCTTATATCTTCAGCATCCATGAATAGAAAAATGGATGGATAAATTGTATAATGTGAATACAATATTTTACTATTTGACACTAAAAATGAATGAACTAAATCCACATATCAACCTGTATGAATATCACACGTGATAAATTGAGAGAGAAAAAAATCAAGTTGCAGAAAAGTACATACACTCTGGTACCATTTGTATAAAGTTCACATACTTTCAAATCAATGATATATTTTATTTACCAATAACTATATTTGCAGTAAAATGTCACTACTCCAAGTACTGATGCACTCCAAGTACACAATGAATTTTATTAGGGAATGACATGAGAAACCAAGATCCTGGTGATAGGTATGTTTATTCTTTGTTACTGGTGTGCGGCTACCTCCATGCCCTCTCAGCTGACAGAGCGAGGAGACATACGCATGTATGTTAACTAGTGTATAAACACATGTCTATAAATATTTCTGGGTGTAACCATCTGTATCTATTTTAAGCTAACCATGCATTCATACAGATCCCCCAACCTTGATCCATTACCATAATAACCATAATTCCAACCACACCAACGCTACCACCACCACCCCACCCCCGCTTATCTGTAAACTCCAGTTCTAAAATGAGAAAGCCAGCTCTTCCCACCTGCCACCTATTCACTTAATTGTTCAATTAAGTGTTCATGTACAGCAGTATCAGAATCGTCAACTCACAACTCCATGAGAGACAATTAACAACAATGTGATACTTCCACAAGCACAGTGCAGTACGGAAAAGGGGAAAAACAAGGGAAACCTGGCAAACGTCACCTCAGCCAGGTGAACAAGGTCACCATCAACAGGGACAAGTCATGCTGATAGTAAAACCCTCGATATGACTCGATGAGAATGACACTTCACCTGTGGTCTTCCTCCCCAAACCCATAACTTCAGTCTAATCATAAGAAAAACATGGTTCTGATCGAGGGACTTCTACAAAATACCTGGCCAGGACTCCTCAGAGCTGCCACGGTCATCAAAAACGGGGAGGCCGAGAACCTAGCACAGCCAAGAGGAGCCTGAACGTAAAGCGCTATCATGGGAGAGATCCTGGAACAGAAAAAGGATGTTGGATAAAAACTAAGAAAATCTAACAAAGTATAAATATTGGTTGACAGTGTATCAATACTTGTTCATTAATTATAATATATAGACCATGATAATGTAAGATGTTAATACTGGAGGTAACCGGGTGTGGGGTACATGGGAACTCTGTACTATCTTCACAATTATTTTGTAAATCTAAAACCACCTTCAAACAATGAAATTTATTGTTAAGAAATGAGTGGGAAAGCCATATACCAAATTCAAGATGATGGTTACTTCTGGGGATAGGGAAACAAGATCCAGAAATTACACAGGGATCCTCCCATCGTATTGTGATAGTTAAGCACAATTTTAAGAATGCAACCCTGAACCCGGGCTGTCTATGCTAATGGCGCTGAGAAACGCAGGCCTGTGCTGCAAGAGCTCTGAGGGTGTAGCGGCCGCTGGTCCGGGTGAGGAGGGTGAAGGGCGGGGGTACTGCTGGGTGGTTGGAAAAGAGTGGAGGGGAGAGCAGAAGAGTTTGAGAAAAAGCCCAGCCCAGGTTTCTGGCTGAGGCTGGGGCGTGCGTGGCCCCCACCTGCACAGCACGGCTGTGAGGGGAACCTGGTCCTGGGCAAGAGGCCCCTGGAGAGCCTCGCCCAGGGACCCCCACGTGTTTGTTGGCCAGAAGCCCTCCGCAGCGTCCCCCACCCAAGCACCAGCGCCGCTGCCGGGAGGCGGCGGCTGTGAGCTCCGGCAGGGACGCTCAGGCTGAGAGGTGGAGACGCTGGCCCCTCACCCTCGCACAGGTCCTCGGCTCCGGGACGCACCCCACCCCTGGCCACGGAGACGGGAGGAGAGAAGCCAGGACCGACACCGCCTGTGGGCACGACCTTGCTTCTCCACGTTCATCCTCGCTGTCCCCGGCACGCGTGGGCGGGTGGTCAGCTGCAGCCCCTGACCAGCTGCCATGACCTCCCCCTGGCCGCTGGGCCACTACCCCATCCTCCGCCACCTGGGCAAAGCAGAGGTAGGAGAGTGCATTAGCTGATGAAGAAGAAAGAGCTCACAATCTGCTCAGAAACTCCACTGAAATCACGTTGGGGAGAAAGAATCACAGAAGCCGAGAATTTAAAGAATCCAAGAAGACATGAGACATGGCAACACAGCTTCTCATGCGAGAATCTCTCTCTGGCCAACCACATCTTGCTTCAACAAGCTGTGCCAACAGCCCCAGTCGCCTGCTGTCACACACCCTGACGCAGCCTTTCTGCAGGAAACTCGTGCCTGCCCGCAGCCGTGAGGGAGTCCGGACAAACCCAGAGGAGCGTTCCACAGGACCGGCCTGTGCTCTCAAAATGTCAACACCACGAACAATGAAGAAAGGCGAGGAAACGTTCCAGATTAAAAGACCCTAAACAGACGTGACAGCTAAAAGCAATACTCAATCCTGGATTGGATCTTGGACCAGGAAGAATAAAATTCCTATAACAAACACTGTTGGAACAATTGGTGAAAATTGAATATGGACTATAGATTATATAATAATCTTATATCAAAGGTAAATTTCTTGATTTTGATAATTGTACAATTTGATAATAATTTTGATAATTGTTATACAAGAGAAAGTCTTTATTCTTAAGGAATACATACCGAAGTTTTTATGGATAATAGGGGAAATGTCTGCAATTTACTATCATTTTCAAATGTGTCGGGAAAAAAATAATGATGCATAGAAAGAGAATGCTGGAGCAAATGTGGCAAAATACCAGTTTGCAAATCTCAGTGGAGTGTAGTTGAGATTTCTTAGCATTATTCCTGTTACTTTTCCATAAGTTTGAAATCGTTTCAAAATAAAATTTAAATATTTTCCAAAGAAACAGCCCTAAAGGGGCTGCATGCTTCCCTCTGTGGAATGAAGTGCACTTTCCCCAGGACACTTCCCCACTTGCACGCGGACCGCACCGATGCCCGCGGATTCTGGAGGACAGTCACCGTGTCCTTCAATGACCCGCCAGCCACCCAGTTGCAGTTTCTCTCATACCCAGGCTAAGCTTTCCCCAGCCCTAGGTACTCAACTGCCTTGTCACGGGGTGGAACTCATCACTGGTGGATAATTCTTACCTATAACTTCTATTTTGGGTTCACTTTTCCAATGGCAAATGGTCCTGGCAGCAGGCTGCCATGAGCATCATCTCAACGGTCCTGAGTCCAAGATGTCAGGCACAGGAGGCCAGGCCTCCCTGGCCTGGTGGGATCATCAGAGTGCACAGGAGGTTGGGGCTAAGATGTACTTTCTTCGAGCACTCCTAGGGGATGCAAAGTTATGATTACCTAAGACAGCTTGGAAGCATTGCAGCTGGAATAGCACTTTGCTAAATTTGGCAGCCCCAGGAGCGGCTGTGCGGATGAGACTTTTTTAAATCAGGAAGCTTGCTTTGGCTAACGTCTCTATCCCGTCTGTCACGCCATCCTCTGCCAGGACTAAGGAGCTGCCTGGGGTGAGCAATCTGCTTGCAAAGTCACGGGCAGGGTGGGTGGGGAAAGGGCAGAGAAGAACTGGGAGGAAACCGCACCTGGCCAGGCCAGGGCCCCTGCAGCCATCATGACTCTGTTTTTGGCATGACTTTTTCCACTCAGAGCACCTGAGGGTGGTTAAGAAATGCCGCAGAGCGTATGTGCACCCGCAGCTTGCAGGCAGGGGTTGCCAACCTAACCTCGACAGACTGGACAGGCAGAAACAGCAAGGACTGTGTTCAGAGCAGACGACACAAACTGGTGGATTGTGGACCATATAAAACTTGCAGGTCCATTTTTTATTTTTGGCCTGTACACTTTTTAAAATTTTTTTCAATTTGTGAAAAATACTCAAAACTTGAGATATTATATTTCTCAAAAAAAAGTCAAACAAAAGTCAAAAAGTCAAAAAAGCTTTTGTCAAACAATCAAGCTCCATATGCCCACGTGGCATATGGAGTCAACTTGCACTGAGCAGCCGCGTCTGGGCAGAGTATGCATGCTGTAGTTTGTCAAGGTCCCCACCGCTCCTTACTGCCTCCCTTCTCCTGGGGTTTTGGGTCCCTTGGCATTTATCATCACGTTTGCACAGTTGTTTGCTTTATAGTGCCTCCTGGAACCGTTTTCTCTATCCTTGTCTTTATCCAAAGTGAGAGAACAAACGATGTCCACAGGGCATCTCAAGAAGAAACTTTTCCACACCTACCCACGTTGTTCTGTTACGTTCCATTTCTGCCCCGTCTAACCCAGGAAATCAACAATTCCGTGTGTGAGAATTGGATTCCCAGTCTGCCTTGGTGCCTGTGGTGGCAGCCCTTCGTCAGGACTCCCCTGCCTCAGCTAAGTAGACACAACTTTAATCATAACAATTTGGCCAGATAAGAGACTGTGGTCCGACTCCTTTCTTAATGAATCCATTCTTAATTCAAAGCCACCCAAACCACCAATATCTGAGGGTCTCAGATCTTCCCCACAACTCGCACAGCCCTTTCTCCAGGCCTGCCCCGTCCCCAGCTCAGAGGGTGCTGTGGGAAAGCACCTTGCCTCTCCAGTGGCCGTCCCCAGCACACGCGTGGGGCAGCCAGAGGAGGAGGAAGAGTGGGAGTGGTGAGGCCCGGAAGGGGCCTAAGGGGGTACGGGGAAGGAGTAGTTGGGAACCAGATGGGAGGAAAAAAGTAGCTGGGGACAGGGTTGGGGGAGGAGTACCTGGGGACGGGGTTAGGGAGGAGTACAGGCTGGGACCAGGGGATGGGGGAAGAGTAGCTGGGGACGGGTCAGGGGAAAGGAGTACTGGGGACAGGAGGAGGAGTACTGGGACCAGGGGATAGGGGGAGGAGTAGCTGGGGACAGAGGTAGGGGAGGAGTAGCTGGGACCAGGGGGATGGGGAGGAGTAGTGGGACAGGGGTAGGGAAGGAGTAGCTGGGACCAGGGGATGGGGGAGGAGTAGCTGGGGACAGGGGTTGGGGGAGGAGTAGCTGGGGACACAGGGAGGAGATAGCTGGGACAGGGATGGGGGAGGAGTAGCTGGGGACAGGGGGTAGGGGAGGAGTAGCTGGGGACAGGGGGTAGGGGAGGAGTAGCTGGGACCAGGGGATGGGGGAGGAGTAGCTGGGGACAGAGGGTAGGGGAGGAGTAGCTGGGACCAGGGGATGGGGGAGGAGTAGCTGGGGACAGGGGGTGGAGGAAGGGGAGGAGTAGAGGGGAGCAGGAAGTGCACACAGGGAAGTGCAGGTGCTTTGGCCAAGTCCTGCTGTCTCCAAGGGGCCTAAAATGGTGGCCTGTGATGGTGTCTTCAAATGAGGTCACCCATTTAGTCACAGAGATGTTCTGATGTGAGTCAAGAAAGATGAGAAATCTCATTTTAAACCTATGAGAACCACACAGTATAATGCTCCATGGATTTAAGGTCTTTTTTTGGTATAAATCCCATGATTAAATTGTGAACAGTACTCCGTGTGTGTGTATGTGTGAAAAGATTTAATTTATTCAGTATAGGCTTTCATCGATCACAGATTTTGAAATCCTGTCTTGGTATTTCTACTTTTTCTACACTATCAGGGGCTCCGACAATGGAGGTGCCATGCTCCCCAGCCCTCCGGGAGCCCTCGGTCCCCGCGGCCTCCCCGCAGGGGAGGGAGGGAGACCCGGGCCTCAGACCGGGCGGCTGCAACTGCCGCGAGAGGGCTTTACCTGGGCAGGAAGGGCTCACATCCCGAGGGCAGGGCGGAGCAGCAGGGCCAGAACTGCCGCGAGAGGGCTTTACCTGGGCAGGAAGGGCTCACAGGGGCACTAAGGACAGGGGCGGAGCAGGAGGGGTCAGAAGCCGAGCGTGGCGGGCTGCCGGGCCTCCTGCTCCCCAAGCCCGCAGATTCGGCTTCTCTCGTCCCCCTGCCGGGCTCGTCCCCAACTGCCCCACTCAACCGCCGCTCCCGCCACACGGAGGGGAACTCGGGGCCAACATTCCTCCGCCCACATTAAAGGGCGCGGCGCCGTCGGCCCGCGGCCAGGCTGGCGCTCCAGAGACAGCTACGCAGCGCGCGGCCCTGCCCCGCCGCCCGCGCCTTCGCGGAGGGAGCGCCTCCCGACGTGGCGCCGGGCCGGGAGGCCGGGCCGGGAGGCCCTGCACGGCGGGTCGGGCTGAGACCGGCACCCCAGCTTCCCGACCCGAATCCCAGGCACCTGTCCCTGAGAACGCACCGCCTCCTGCTCTGTGCTCCGCTAGGGCGCGCGCCGGCGAGGGCGGGCGGATCAGTCTCCAGACCAGAGGGCCTCATTCGCGCCCGCCGTCACCCGGCCCGACGGGAGGCGGTTTGGGCGCCGCTCTCGCACGCGGAAGTGCCCCGGCGCGCCGCCTCGAGCGCGCGCCCCACCGACCGCGGCCCTTCGGCGCCCCGCAGGGCCCATCGGAGCGAGCGGGCCGCGGCGCGCGCGGGCTGTCCTGCAGGGGCCTCTAGGCTCCGAACGCGGGCCCTCGAGGACGACTCGGACACCGAGGGCCTTCGTCGGGCCGCGCGGGCGGGACACCCGCCGGGCGCCTTAAGCCGCCAGGCTGCTCGGCTCCAGCCCGGGCGGCGGCCGCCCCCTGCCGGCTGTGCGGTGCGCGCGTCTGGGGCTTGGGCGCGCTTGAAGCTCTGACTCGGGTGGGGTAAAGGCAATACATGTGACCTAAACATCTGTATCCCCGTAATATGCTGAAACAAAAAATAAATGAAATACCAAAGCCCCCAACCAACCAACCAAACAGGTCTCCCTCGTGACCAAGGGGACCCTGGAGAAACCTTAAAAACCAAGCTCCCAGCCGGGACAAGATGAGGGGTCGGACACACCTTATTTCCTAAGGGCTAAACAGAAACCAGCCCTTTGGAAAGACTTGCTCCACTGCTGGTTTCAGCCATCCTCGTGACTCCCTCTCTTTTGTGGTTTTGGCACGACAATCACCCAGCCTTCCTTCCTGAGACGAGACCACCAACCATGGAGTGCTTGGGCCAGTCCACGGCGGCCGCGGCGGCGGGGCCTGTGTGCTGTGCTTCAGCTTTCGATGTGTGGGGCCTAACTGAAACACCTTTCAGTGTGAAGTCTCTGCCCCGAGGAGAGCATGGGACACATGTCGCACTCATGCTAGCCTACTACGCATGTGTCTGCCACCCCTTTGTGAGTGTCCATAGCTCCTCCGATAGCCTGTTGCATATGTCTGCTCAGCTAACCCATTCAGCATAAACCCGTCTGGCCTCCCCGCCCTGCGGGGGCTCCATCTCGGCTTCCACCAGAGGCTAAGCTTCCCAGCCTGCAAGATGGACGCCAGCAGGCTGCAGCCTTTTATAAAAATAAAGCTCTCCTTTCCAAATTTGTGAACCCCATGATTCTCTGCTTGACATCCTCCTCCCAGGTATAGGGCAGGACCCCCTGGAACGAGCGTCTTATGACTCACTGTTAAACAAGGCAGGTCAGAGAATTCTGTATGGTCAGCTCCTCCACAGAAAGGTGGGGGAAAGCAGAGTACTCTTTTTAGGTTTTATGACTTGATTTGGGGGAGGGTTTCTATGACCCAACTTGGGGAAGAGTGATTCTGGTTTCTATGACTGACTTTAGACAAGAAGAAGGGTGAAAGATGGGAGGAAGAGAAAGTCAAAGAGAACTTGCCTCTGAGGCTGTTCCTGAGGCCTTCCAAACCCCTTTAGTTCACAGTACCCAGCATGCCAAGCGCCACACTTTGGGATATCATTTCCTGAGCCCCAATACATGCATTTACTGTACATCATTTGTAAATGACTAGAAGTGCATATATTGAGTCTCTGTGACCAAATACCTGTGGAGCTTCTTGGTGGCAAGAGGAAATTAATGCTCAGTAGGAAAGAGAATTTTCCCAGCTGTGAGGCTCCATGAGGTCTTTATTCCAAAGTGAAGCTCTATCTAAAATCTCAAAAAAAAGTGTGTGTGTGTGTGTATATATATGTGTATGTGTGTGTTTCTATATATGTGTGTGTTTGTATATATAGAGAGAGACAGAGGTAGACAGACAGAGACAAAGACAGAAATACCAGCACAAAGGCTGCAGGAAGCAGTCAGAAATCAGGGTGCAGAATTGCATAGAGCCAAAGCATGTAGTGGCTAAGAGTAGGAACTCTGGAATCAGATGTGACCTCAAAGTCTCTAAATTTCAATTTCTCCAACTGCAAAATGAGAACACTAACTTCAAAGTATTGTAAATCAATTGAGGCTTAAATTAGATAATCTAACTGAAGTGATTAAACACAATGCCTTAAATATAGTAAACAATAAACTGTAGCTACTGTTTGTGAATAATAATTTAAAACAATAAGCTGTAGCTATTGTTTATAAAATTTAGCAGGATTTCATGAGAAATAGGAGTTGCTGTTTGAATCTGTCTGTTGGAAAGTACACCAAAGTGTCTGCTAAAAGATGGGATTTGGCTTTCTTATTTTGTTTGTTCACTTAGTGAACTAAGGAGAGAGATATAGGCGGAAAACCAAACAAAGCTGACATCACACGACTTTGGAAAGTAATTTGGAATTTGACTGGACTTTTAAAATAGTAAGTGGAAGTAAAGCAATAATAGGATTAGTGAACCAGAAATACCTGCATGTAACAATTAGAGAACAAGCCCTGTAATAAAACACAAAAAGCTTTCAGAGGCAGAAAATGTGGGTTCTGGCCTCAGCTCCGCCACTGATGGCTTATAGACCCGAGCATGTGCGTTGACCAAGAGAGCTGAGCTGAGCCTCACACGTGTGGACGATTGCTCTCCACTCTCAGGATCAGGAAAAACATGCAATTGCTAACAACTACTCTTTTTCTTTAAATGATTGGCTCGTAACAATCTTGTAATACACCTGTTCCGTCTTTGCATTAACTGTCAAGGAGCTCAGAGCAAAACCTCAGCCATCCCTAGCACCTATACACAATCTTATGGCATGCATTTATGTGAAATGGTGTCCGTGGAAGTACTTGGTCCGTTCTCAACAGTGAACAGACGCACCCAGAACCCTGAAGTATATTTATGTGTGTGGGAGAAAGCAGAGGGGAGCATTTCAGTGAATGCCACCGAGTGGGACTGAGACCCTCATATTGGAAGAGAAGTTTCTCTCTAGAGCACAGTGCAGACCACAAAGCATTTGGCAACCAAGGATTTGGCAAAGAACACAGCTATTAAGTCAGGAAACTAAACTCCTCTTTCCTCTAATGAGACAGTTTTGCCCTAATACTACTCAGAGTTGCTGCAGTGTGGAAGGAACCGAGTAAGGGAGGCCAGGCACCAGAGACTTGCACGGAGGGCCGGCCTATCTCACCCCCTACCCATCTGCCCTGCTGCGAGCACACCATGCTGACCTGGTTTGGGGGTAAGGCCTTTATCCCCAGCCCCTACTGCTTGCCTGCCTTCCCTTTCGCTCTCTCCCCTCTCCTATTTTAGATTCCAGTTCTAAGCCAACCTGTTAAAAGCCAGCGATGTGGTTGTGAGCAAGACATCTCCTTTGCCTAGGACTCATGTTCCCTCTATAAATACGGTTTCCCACCCCCGGGCTGCGGACTGGTGCAGGTCTGTGGCCTATAGGAACCAGGCCACACAGCAGGAAGCAAGTGGCAGGTGAGCCAGCGAAGCTTCATCTGTATTTACAGCCGATCCCCATTGCTCACATCACCGCCTGAGCCCGCCTCCCCACCCAGCCCACCCCACCAGGCCACAGAAAAATTATCTTCCATGGTTCCTGTCCCTGGTGCCAAAAATGTTGGGGACCACTGCTCTGTAAAATCAAAGAGCTGAATTAGATGAGGGCTCTTAAACTGTTTTTGTGCCATAGACATCTGTGGCAGTCTAGCGTATCCTCAGAAAAAGGCTTTCTAATGCATGAAATACGTAGGACCACAAAGATAACCAATTATGTGGAAATGTGGTTATCAAAACATGTATTTAAAAAGTTGAATATTGTAAGATACATGCTTCTATACTGATGCACTAGAAATAACATAATCTAGCAGAAGCTCTAATGACCACTATAATTTCAAAGCACTGATGCATGTAAGTGGTATTTTGAGATACCTAAAACAATTGAAACAAGATTTGAGAATATCTGATTTCCATTGGCGACAGAGTCACAGTTATTGCTAATACTATATAGCTTGTTGCCTCATTCGTAATCAAGGGAAATGCTAAATTTCAGTTAGTAAAAATAAAAATGTAATTTTTTTCACATCCAAATTCACAAGTGCCCTGAATCTAAGCAAGAAGTCCATGGGCCACACGCCAAAAATATGTGGACAGACAATTCTAAAGTTGCTTCTGACTCTGGCATAGTTGGATTCCATAGAATTATCTAAATGAGACTGGGGATAGAATAGGGACATTTAGGATAATGGGGTGAAACTTTGCAATCTCAACAGTTAGCACCAGAGTGTCTCATGGGGTGGAAACTATTTTTATTTAGAGAACTGCCCTGAGCAGTCTCGTGGGGCGGACTGGTGTCAAACCCAAGAACTAAACTGCTCTTTGTCAAACAAGTTCAAGAATGGGGAGATGGGGCAAGAGAATCCAGAGGAAGCCGGATGGAAACTGGGGGTGGAAATGGGCAGGGGCTACTTGGGAGGTAGGTGTTTGGTGTTCAATTGGAAGCTGTTGTGTTACTGGGATAGAAACCCCTGCTTTGGCCCAAAGCTTCATTAAAGTCAGCTACATGTATGAAGGAAGTAAGGGAACATGCTGAATTCCCCTTCCGGGCCAATATGCTGGAGCAAAGGAGAGTGTGTGTGGCCTAGTGAGATGCTCAAGATGTCCGAGCCAAAAGAGGTCAGAAAAATAAATGCACCCTGGAAATGCACGGAATTTGGGGAGCACATTAAAATGGGGGTTGGGGCCCTTCCTGTCTAGATCATATGGGATAGAGTGATCTTGGTTAGCCTCCCGGGACCAGCAGCATCACAACATGGGGGACTCCAGCTCCACCCCAGACCTGCAGGGTCAGAAAGAATGAG